TCTATCTGAGATAATATTCACAGATAATTCATGCAATCAGATTATATCACAGATGAAGATGTAAGTTAAATTCTTTGACTTCAAGTTCTTGTAAGTGAGTATAAAGTGTGTTATCTTGATGAAGTAATTCACTATCATCAGCACACTGTCAAAGCAGATATTATATATATTCTTGCTTTCAGAGAGACTTATAAGAGCATTTATTTCTAGCTATTCTCAAGATTTCTATAAAATAAGTAGAGAAGTAAGTTCTTTATATAGTCTGAACTGTACTACTTACAAACTTTAATAAACAGTATAAGAATTCACTATCTTCTTTACAAGTTCTCACATCTTCAGTCAGAAGTATTTTCTTATAAGTAACTCATAAGTTCTAGTATCTGTAAAATAATCTGTTAGAGAAGAGTCATGATATCTTTTAATAAGTTCTATACATAGAAACTTATTCATAGATATATAAATTCAGTTCTCTCTTTATAAGAGATTATTTAAGTCTCTTTAATTCTTTATTTCTGCAGAGTTGATCTCTGCTGTAAGCAGTTTCTGAATATACTGAGTATATTCATTCTTCAGTTATAGTTCAGACAATCTGAATAGAAGATCTTATAAAGACTTATACTCTGTTTCTTCTTACATCAGGTCTTTCATAGCACTTCTCAAAGTCTGTAAATTCTTCAGATTATAGATACTCTCTTCAAGAATTCTTATAAAGATCTTCAGAGTATTGACTCTCAGTGTTGTAGAGAGTAGTTATATAGACTTCTTTTCTCTCTTTCTCTTCTTCTCTTATAAGAAATTGAGAGACTCTTCAGTTAATCTCTTTATAACACTCAGTTTAAGTATCTTATAAAGCTTTTCTATCTTCTCTAGTCTCTCTGTATCTGTTATTCTAGTCTTCTTAACATAGTCTGATCTGTAAGAGAGTTCATTCACTGAGTTCTTAGTTCTCTTGATATGTTCTATCTTGAATCAGAACTCACTCAGTCTCTGAGTTCAGTGAATCTGTCACTGTAAGAGTTTCTTGATTGAAGTAAACTATTATAAGCTATTATGATCAGTTCTAACAGTAATCACTGTTACAAGGCTTTCAAAGTAGTGATATCAGTGATAAAAGAATTTCATTATTATAAGAAGCTTCTGATTATAAATATTATAGTTGATCTCTGCAGATTGTATCTTTTATAAGAAAAAGATCACTGAAACTCAGTTCTCATTTAACTATAGTTATAAGACTATTTCTGAAATTATAAAGAAGAAGATATCTGTCTTTAATCTAATTAAGAGTAAGAGATCAAAGTGAAACAGTATTACTGTATCTGTGAATATCTATTTTAATCTTATAAAGACTCTGTGAGCTTTTGAGATAAGAAAGTTCTTACAGTTCTTTCTTCTTAATAATCTTTTCATTCTTTATTTATAGAATGACTTCTTCTTATTTTCATTCTTCAGCATGTCTGTAAGAGTTAAGAAGATTCTCATAAATATAAAGATAAACTGTCTATAGAAATTCACAAAGCTCAGAAAGATCTGAATCTTATAAATACTAGCTAGCTTTAATTATGATAGAATAGTTTTAACTTATAAAGATTTCATCTGAATATTATCTATAATGATTATATATTCTAGAAAATTAATCTGACAGATACTGAAGTTATACTTTATAAGCTTAATATACAGTTCTGTCTCATCTAAGATCTTTAATATACTTTATACATGCTCAGTGTGTTCTTTCTTCTTTATAAAGTATATTATCACATCATTCAGATATATTATTACAAAGATATTCAGATATATATGAAGTATTTTATTGATAAAAGACTGAAATGCTGTAAGAATATTAGTCAGATCAAAAGATATCACTAGATATTCAAATAATCTCAGTGCAGTTCTAAAGACAGTCTTTCATTTATTCTCAGATTATATTTATAGCTGTGTATATATATTAATTATATTTAGTTATATGAATATGACAGCTTCTGTGAGACAGTTAATTACATTCTTAATCAGAGATAGAAGATAGCAGCTCTTTATTATTTTAAAGTTCAGATTATAATAGTCTATATATAATCTGAAATCTTTATTTTTCTTCTTTATAAACATCATAGAAGCTTCTGCAGAGGTCTGTGAAGATTAAATAAAGTTATTCTTCAGATTCTTCTTCATATAGATCTGTAAGATCTCTGTCTCATAGTGAAAGAGCTTATAGATTGATTCTCAGAAGAGTTTCTACTCTTCTATTAAATCTATTATCAGATTCTTCTCATAGTAAGAGAGAAGCTTAGCTGTCTTTACTGAGCTGAATATCTCTGTAAGATCTCAGTATTTCTCTGATATCTGAAGCTCAGTTTTCATAACTGTGAGATTCTCAGACACTTATAAAGTTATTATATAGATAAGCTTATTTTCTCTGATTAACTCTACAGTATTAACTGATTCTATCTTTATAAGTAAGTCTATTAACACTGATCAGAAGTATAAACCTGACTTATAGACAGTTATGTATGAATTATATCTTTAAAGTTATACAAGTCTTAAGTATATATCATCTGTGATATCTGTGATAATTACAGTTTTTATAAATCTTCTTCAGATTTCAGAGAGATCTTATAATTCAAAGATAACTCTTATAAGTCTCTCAGCTCTCAGATCTGAGTTCTCATATTCTACTTATTATAAGAGTAGATTCTCAGTTTTCATCTTTCAGCTTATTTACTCTGTGAGCTTTAAAGACATTACAGTGATCTGAGATTCTGAGTTTATTAATACTTCTTATACTTATAGAGCAGTAGTATTATAATACAGTCTCTTTCTATAAGTAAGTATTTTCATTAAGAGAGTAATAGATTCAGATATTAGCTTCAAGATTCTTAAGAAGACTGTTACTAACTCTGTCTATAACTTCTTAAATTTCTATTTTAATTTATTCAGACAGTTTATATAAAGATGTTCTGATTTAGAATAGATAAAGTAGAGTCTTTTTTTCTTAATCTCTCTATTATACACTCTGTTTATAGAAGCTTATAAGACTCTCTCTCTTTACTCAGCAGTCAGATACAAATCTCTCTATATTTTATTATCTTTTTCTGATAAATCTGTTCTCTGTTATTCTGACTCTTACAGAGCTAATTAATGATTCACTCTCTACAGATCTGTGACTCTCACAGTGATTTATAAGTAATAAATAAGAGTCATCAGTTTCTTCAGAGTCAAGAACTTAGAGTCTTACTTAATAAGCTTGTTCTATATATCTTTATTCAGTCTCTTTATAAATATTATTATTCAGATCTTATTTCAGAGCTCTGTTTTCACAGATCTTAATTTATATTATAATTTTATAAAGTGCTATGAGTAATCTTTATCAGATTTCTCATCTCTTTTTCTAATATTAATGATTATAGCTCAGATATTCTCTATTCAGCTTACAGAGTTTCTTAACTTATTCTCTAGATAGATCTTAAGAATAGATTAGTAGAATCTCTTATAATTATTCTTTAAATAATTCAGTCAGTTCTTGACTTCAGTGTAATAGAGATCTGTTATTATATAGATAACAGCTTCTTCATCTTTTATATTATACAGCTGAGCTTGTGAGTCAATTTTAAATATAAACTTATAAAAATTTTTATAGATTATAATTTGATAAGTAATCTTAAGTAATTACAGCTTAAGAAAGTTTCTTTTCAGTTCATGAGTATCTCTGAAGATCATGTTTAGAGACTTGATTCAAGAGTGTTTACAGATAGTAAGCATTTCTTATAGAAAAATAGCTTAATTCTGTAGAAGATGCTCAAGAATATTCTTCACTGAGATTAATTTATTCATGAATTTAAAGAGTTTCTCTATTACAGATATAGAGAATAATGTTCTGTGAGTAATTAATAAGTTCTCTGAGACTTCTTTTATAGAGATTATTTATAATTCAGATGACTACTTCTGAGTGTCTGCAGTAGAGTTTATAGAGATTGAAGTATATAAGTTTCTAGTTCTTTCAGTTATAATAGACAGTTACTGACTGACTGAGCTTGAAATATAAGAATAAGTGCTCATAGATGATTATTCAGGTGTTTACAGCTTGATATGATATATACTATTAACTACTAGAAGTATTCACAGTAGAAAGATAAAATGTAGAGATTAAATATATAATAGTATTTAAGCTGAGTTATGAATAGTATTCACAAACTTCAGTCTATATAGTTGTGTGTAGTCAAGGGCCGCTAGCCCTATTGATTACATGAGAGATAGAAATAGAGGTAAAGAATCCGCGAGAAGCGGGATTTCTTACAAAAATATAAAGAAGTGACAATTAGATACATACAATAATAACTTCTCAGCTCAGAAATATAGAGTGATTCATTGAAGTGATTTATACATCTCTGTATTTATTAGAAACCTGAGATGCTTAAGTTTCAGATTTAATGTATTTCCTGCAGGTTTTGAACTCATGTGTCTTGATTTCCCATGCCAAGGCACTATCAGATAGCCGCATTAACCATTCAGCCACCGGGGCGAAGAAAATCAGTTTAACTTTAACCGTATTAAAAACTATATTCAAATCAGCTTTGAATTGAAAAAGTATTTCAGAAGAATGTGATTTATTAATAAAGCTTTTAAATGCTTTAGAAAAACCTTCATTAACAGAGTTTAAATATGAAAAATCATTATCAGTAGTAACTGACTTAGTGAACAGAATATAAAATTACAAATAAGTATAAGAGTAAGAGTGAAATTGTGATGAATTCACTATACTAAGTACTATACTTATTTTCTTTTATTAAATTCTTTTTAATATAAGCTTTGAGTAAGATTATAATTATCAATTGAATGTTTTCTTTTTTTCTTTTTTATAATATAATATGTTTCACTCTGTAAGCTTCTTCTAAGTGAGTAGTAGTATTATTAATTAACAAAATCTTAAATACATTAATATAAATAGAACAAGATCATTTCAACATCTGATAAATATATTAAATAAAGCAGTAGTTAAAATAATAATTATATTGACAAGAAATCTTAAAGTAACAGTGTTAATGTGTAAAATAAGTTTCATAATCTGTAAAAGATGTAAAGCTTACTTGATTAAAAAGATTACTAGCTTGTGAGAAGTTATATGATAGAAGAATTAATAAGCTAGAATATGTGACCTGACATATCTAACACTGTATAACAAATACTGAGGTAAAAAACTTGATGAATAATAATATAAAATATATGTATTATTTGTATAGTACACTGGTCAAGAAGAGACATAGTTAGTTCAGATATGTATGAAACAGAGGGTTTTAACATAGATAAAACTTCTGTGAAAGATGCTTGTGAAACAAAGAGTCATTCATAATCTTGAATGAATGAATAGTTAGTTGGACATGAATCTCACTTGTGATTATTGTTTGTTGTTTTTCAAAAATGATGCTCAGATGGTTTTTTGCCGGGAAAAAAAGGGTACAGGTACAGTACATTTACAACATGTACAAGACCATGCTGCCACATTCAGGACAGTTAGAAGATCAAGTCAAGACACAAAAATATCCGCCTCCTCACGAAATGACAAGGTAGTGGAAAAGTGTAAATAGAAATCTCCGTAGCGATATACATGTGTACTAATGTAATGTAATATACGTACCATACATGTAGCTAGCTGGCCTTGGAAGTTAAATCTTTTTAAGACAAGGTAAAAATGATAGTGAAAGGCCCGACGAACTGCCTGACATGTCCGAAGCCCGAAAGTTACTGAGATGAGTGTCAAGGCGCCCGGCTGATCATAATTAATTAACAACAACAATAAAGCATCGGTTGCGAGAACTGGCCAACCGGCCTCTAGATAGAAAAAACAATAGCATATGGGTGAGGTGACGCTACCCCGTACCTGTATCTTCTAGTAACAGGAAAAGAAAAGGAAATGTAGATAGGACAAACAAGAAAGGAAAATTGGCGCTGCCAGTTCTGTGAAAGGTGGTAGAGGGTGTTTCTGAAATGGTGAGGGATTTAGTGAAAAGGGGTCAGGTGTAAAAAATACTGCTGTAAACAGGAGGGTTGATGGACAACAAAATATAGGATATAGGAAGAGAGTAGGGTGAATTAAGGGCCCTGCTTAAGGAAAAGACAAAGAGTAAGGATTAGATTATGAAACTCCCGGAAAAGGTAGGGGGTATAGCAGAAAAAAGAGGGTTGTATTTGGGGCATTGGAATGTATGTGAAGGATGCAGTTTGAAATCTATCACCCTATCCGCTGTTATGTTGGTGTATTCTAGAATATTCGAAGTTCGACAACGATGCCGGAACAGGTTCTCTACTTAGATCACAGGGGTGCAGAAGAACGGCAAAAGTCTGCATCCCTGTTTGAATTCTAATTTTGTGTTGTGACACCCTGCCATGTCAAACTTATCAGTAAAGCGGCCTATGAAAAAAAAAAAAAAAAAAAAAAAAGACGAAATGAGCGGCCATAGGACTTACGAAGAGGAAGGCGAGTTCACGTGTATTCAAGCGCCCGATTGTCTGGCTGGCCTTCTCGTCCAATGCCCCCTCTACCAAAGCACGCTTCCGATCCTGTAGCTCGAGGATACGGTCCTCGACTGTTCCTTTCACGAAGATGCGATGCACCATTACCGGTCGCAATTGTCCAATGCGATGTGCACGATCGATAGCCTGCTCTTCAATGTAGGGATTCCAGAACGGATCAAGAATGATGACCTGCGAAGCGACGGTGAGGTTTAGGCCTGAGTTCCCGGCCTTCAGGGAAATGAGCATGATTGTACGGTCTTTACTGTCAGAGAACTCAAGGACAGCTTCGTTGCGCTCGCTGGGCTGCATGCTGCCGTCATATCGGCAGTAGCCCCACCCTTCTCTTTCGATGGGGACTTGAAGAAGGTCTAGGAGGGTTGTGAACTGGCTGAAGATGATAGTTTTCTCTGGTTGGTCATCACCCTCGGGAATGCGGGATTGAATACTGCGAAGGGTTTCCATTGTTTTCTCGATCTTAGCGCTAGTCACCCAATTGTCGTTGAGGTAGCGAATGTACTCTTTCTTCGCCTCGGCGTTTCTCACCGCCTGTTTCTTTAACTGTGATAGCGACTTTTTTTCGACTGCTTTGCCCTTGCCCTTTCCGATGTCACCGTCTCCATCGTCATTGAGCCATGGCCCCGAATCATCCTCCCTATCTGCGCTGCTTGGGTCGTCGGGATAGAATACTTTTTTGAACGAGATGTTATCAGTTATCTTTTTGGGGTCGATAAGTGTGCGGCAATGGGGGCATTTAATAGAAGCTTCGCCATCAATGCCTTGTGCCAGCAGCCGAGAAGGATCCGATATGATAGCAAAACACTCAGCGCATGTGCTGTGGCCGCATGGAAAGAAAATGATTGCGTTTTCTGCCACATCGAAGCAGACTGGGCATTCCATGTCTTCATTCGCCTTCAGACGCGAGACGACATCTGGCTCGAACCGTTTTGCGTTCTCGATCAGATCGATTTTAGCCGCTTCAGCAATTGTCTCCACTGACAAGTCGTCAATCAGGTGCGGATGACAACATGTCTGCCGTAGTCGGAGAAGCAATACAAGAATATTGGAGTAATTGCGGCCAATTGTTCCTTCACGAAGGTATTTATTAAACCTAACCTGAGTTTTGGACTCTAGAGCATCATAGAGTGACTCTTCATCTTCGCTGAATGTAGCGTATGTCTTTTCAGTCGTCCGCGGGGGCAACTGCAAAATCCTCTTGCCATCGATTTCCGACGATTTCGTCCGACGTAAAAGTATAGCTTTCAGCAGAGCTTGAAACTTTTTCATGGGAGGAAACCCCGGAGGTATATTAACGCGTTGTAATACACTAAACGTCTATAATTAATTGTTAGCACTCTCGAGCCCTTTAAGAGGTAGCGAAAGGAGTTGGCTTGGTGCCATTATCACTCACATAATTAAATTTTTCAAGAACATTGTACGGCCCGATTCTCAAGAATTTAATCAGGGAGTAAATTTCCGACACATTATTCATCATTGGAGTGCCAGTCATACACCACCTATAAGTTGATTTCAGACGATAACACGCTTGGGCGGCTTTGGTGGCTTTATTTCTGATGCATTGGGCTTCATCTATGATTACCCGGTACCACGTACTCCTCTCTCCAAGAAGCGGCAATGAAAATTTCTCGTCAGGATCAATATTTCGGTAGGTATGTTCGTTCTCTGTCCTCATCCTCCTTGCGACCTCCAGTCGTTTCAGTTCTGAAGCCAGAGTACCGTAGGTTGTTAGAACAACGTCGTACTTTTTCAAATTGTTATACTTTACACCTCGTTCGTTGTGTAGAATGAACACAGTCAGTTGGTGTGTTGGCTTTAGCATCCGCTCAATTTCCCGTTTCCATTGTTGGATCAGCGCAACGGGCGCAACTATGAGAGTCGTTTTTCGCTCAGGGTCTGTCGAGGGTCGGGAAACCATGAGAGCTAAGGCCTGTATGGTTTTTCCCAGGCCCATGTCGTCGGCCAAAATTCCGCCTCGGTTGGAGCATTCTTCCATAGACTTCATCCAAGCCAAACCGAGCTTTTGGTGTTCCATCAAGGTGAATTGTAAAGCTTCCGGGGTGCCTACGCGATTGCAGTCAAGCTCCTGGTCAGGCCTAATATTTTCCATGAGTGTTTTCAACTCATCCATCGTAGTATTGGGGGTTATCTGTTCGTAGATCGTTGACTTGAAGTCACTACATGCAAAGACGGTGAGCATCATACCATTAGTTTATCCTAATGTCATTCCTCGAGGCATGAAAATAGGGGTTTACCTACCTCGAACTCATGCCACGTGTTTCAAGCTCCGATGAAGTCTTGTATATTAAGTCAGCAATACCATCGCGGAAGGAATCGGGATGGCAACTGTGTGAGCCACTGGCGCCTGGCTCAGCTCCGAACATATTTGGATTTCTGGGCGACATGGAATTGCTGGAATATGTAGAATATTCAAATCCATGGCCTCGAGGTATGATCGAATTATCGCACTCATGAGAGGTGGAGCAGCTAGAAGAAGTTTCATGCACCATATTATCCTTTGACCAGAGTCCCCTCACATCTGATGTTGTGCGGCACTGATTATGACTTGACGGAGCCGAACGACTCGCGGCGGCATAGCCAGCTTGAGGGTATACCTCTTCAAGTTCACTGTCGCTGGCTATTTCAATATAGTTTTCTTTAAATTTGGACGAATTTCCAGGTTTTCCACGATGCGTAGGATAGGATCCTGAGCTGGATGAATATGACTCTTCATTCCAGTGTTGCTGTAACGACCTAGCGAATTCTTCATCCAAGCGCTCCTGTTCCCTCTTCTGTTTAAGCCAATTCTCGGCTTCCCGCTGCTCACGTTCTATCTCTTCAAAATCATCAGAGAAGGCAAAAAGTTGGCGGACTGGTAAGCTGTTCAACACGACGGCCGATGAGCCACTATTCTCCCCTGGAGATGGGGTAATTTTCCTAGATTTCAATCCAGAATGTCCAGAATTGGCAGATAAGCTAGTGCCGGTTGCAGTTCGGGGACGCTTACGGTTTGGCAACACTTCTCCTGGCCCATTGGAATCGGCACTCTGAGATGAGTTGGACAAGATGGGAAAGTTTGAACCACTCGAGTCTCCTAATTGGGAATCATCTTCATCGCGATCACCATAACTCCGCCTGGGTATTGCAGACAAGTCAGAGAGATCCTGGCCTTGAAAATTCGTTTGCGATAAACGATTAGGCGCAGCCGCTGACCAAGCTTCGGGGGAGGGAGGACGTGTAGGAATTTCCTTAGACTCGATTTCCTCGGACTCGATGGGCTTGGGTTGTATAATAGCCAGCTCTGCTTCGGAGGATGCAATTGATCGAGGATCAGTGTCTCTAGAGCTGAGCCGCTGGAGATCGTTGTCGAGCATATCCTCTTCAGAGAGTGGATACCCATCCTCATCAAAATCTGCAGGTAGATCCACCAGATCCGTTGTAGTTGTAGCATCTCCATGCTCCAGAAAGATATTCTCACCCTCGATGTCGTCGGAGTACATAGGGTTGTGAAAGGGGTTGGGCTCCATAGTTCGAAGGGATAGTTCGGCGCTGGGGCAATTCTGAAGCGTTTCAATATGGAATTAGTGGGACTACGCTTTAGATAGATAAGAGAGCAGTGCGTAGATGTATCGGATTTCAGGCAGATTTTATCTTGCTTTATGCAGAACTTCAGTTGAGACTGGGCGGGAGGCTGCAGGCAAGGCTCAGGTTGTCTTTGAGTCGGGCGTGGTGCGGCTCTACGGGGGAACGATAAAGAAGCTGGAGGAACAATGACGTTTAACCAAGTGGTTGTTCTTGATTTGTCGAACAATGTGAGCCTTGCTGCAGCCTGATATATGAGGGGAAGATGCGAGGGAACGGAGAGCGTTGTCGAGTCGAGCAAGCTGTAAGGTGACGCCGGAGAGCAGAGGATGTGTGTGGTTGGTTGATGATGATCGTTAACTTAAATATCAATAAACTTCAAGCGTGCGCGCGCTATTTATCTCAACCTTGGAATAAATACAAGTGCAGAATTCACAGCGCAGCAAGGAGGATTGCCATTGCTAACGCCGGTGTTGTTGAAGGGCGTAAGTATCCACAGATGTGGTCCTTGTATTAATGCTCCCAATTATCATATATCTTAAAGCCTTGCACATTGAAGCATTTGTTCTCAGAATTTGCACTCCCTGGAGCGAATAAATATTTTCTGCAGCTGGAGCCTAGCCAGACGATGGGAACGCTCTTAACATACTCAATTCGACCAATTCTTTTAAATTGTCCTTTGTTCGCTATGCATAGGATTACAGAATTGTTTGTTTCTTCTGCTCTCCGAGGACCTGAAAGCTGCGGATAGTTGCAGTGCAATTCCGGCTACTGATAGCAAATGTATGTACGCAGTAAGTTAGTACATTATTTCACCCAAAGACATCCAATGGCTCACCCCAGGATGTTACGTGTAACTACATGTACCTTACTATCTCAGGGCATACGGGCATCATTAGATTCAAGGGATTTTCACTAACTCGGGCTACGACAATACGGCCACACCATAAGCAATAACTAATGATTAACGCCTGGAGATAGCATCTAGGAACGGAGGTATATGGCGGAACGCCCTTTACTAGAGCTAGATGATAAGAGGCACCCTGCCGGACTCGTATGTACATGTACAAACCAGTCCATCTATGCTCTGCGATCGAACCACAGTTCCAATTCCATCGGGATGCTGTTTACAGGGCGCGATGTTGGGGCCAGCATGGCCTAGGCTATATAGGGCGCTAGAAAGGCCTTCATCCTGAGACGTCAAAATGCTACACAGCCCTCAGAAACAGACCATGATATTTTCCATATGCCAGCTAAATAAGCACCTTTTATGATCAAACTCACAGAATGATAGTCGAATAACGTGTTGACATGATCTCTCGAGCCCACGCCCTTCAAGACCCCCACATTCGTTCCTCTCTAGACTGTTCTCTGCAATTCTCTCAAAGCTCTGTTCTGGCCCACTCATTTATTTACCTTCCCCCCCCTTGTCTTGTCCCTTGTCGCTTTCTATTAGCGGCCATTCGGCTGCCAGTTCTCGATTCCCCTTTGCCTCCATCAATTCCCGCGTTGCACGCGATGTCGCGCGTTTAATTGTTCACGTCAGAAAAACGCGTGGAATGGCTAAGAGCCCAGCCAAGACGCTTTGTGTCCCGACGAGTTTAGCCCGCTTCAAAAAAGGCTAAACAGCGGCTGGGATAGGACAGCATGCGAGGTGTCATCGTACACTAAGTGGGGGTCGTCTGTGCAGAAACGTCCACATCCCGGCCACTGAGCGCGCTGATGTTGCGGTGAGCGTCAATGGTTACGAAACACCGGGGCGGGCCCCAGTATCTACCGTACCAAGCCCCAAGCAGCGGAGAGGAGCGCGAGGGGAGGTTGGGATACATGTACCGAGATCCCGGCCAGAGCACAAAGCAAGCCCCCGAGAGGGCGTTCGCTTCCCCCCTTGATCGCCACCACTCATCGCGTCGGGATACTTTGTTCACGACCGTACATTTCTCGCGATGACCCCAGCGACCGTTCTTTCCTGCAGCACGGCTCCTTTTGGTGTCTCCCTAGACCGATTCGTCTCAGCGAACAGCCTTGTTTTTGAACCCAAAGTCTGACTCGCGCCATGCGACACGAAAAAAAATGGAACCAGAAACGAAGACGCTTCCCCGCCCTTCTGGCGCGATTTTCTGGCGTGCATCGTTGAGAGATGCTTGGGCATCCCGGGGCGCAAGGAAACAAATGATCTGGCCGGCCTGGGTCCTATAATATCACGATTCGCCCGATTCCTCAGTCCCTTTTTTGTTGTTTCAATATGTTTTGAACCATTGTCTGTGTGCGCCGTCCAGTGACACACCAGCTTGGGCATGTTTTGGGCCAATTTTCTCTCGAATTTGACCACACCAAAAGCCCAACTCGAAGTATCGGGTATACTTCTTGACAGCACTCCAATTTCCTAATATATCTTCTATTACATTTCTACAAAAAGAGCACACACACGCAGAAACAGACATTATTTAAGTGCATATTAAGATAATTAACCAGAATCAACTTGATTTTCACAGAGCTGAGCTCTTTTTAAACTGTATGCGAAAACTAATCCTTCTCATGCATTTTGGTTCTCCTATCCACATCCATCAACACCCAAAAGAAGAACGAAGAGAAGAAGAAAGGAAGAAAGCAGGAGAAAGCCATCCTCTCTTCGTTATTTTGGACGAGGTCATGACTAACAAAGCCTCTCAAGAACCTTTTGCATTTTGGACCCGGCTCACTGGCCGCTATGATCAATCATCTTCATCAACATGTCGTCCGCAGCCGCCTTTTTCCAGTTCTGGTGGACAGATCTGACCCGAGATGCCTTTCTCGCCTGCTTGCCGAAAGAAGACCTTTTATCCATGCGACTGGTGTGTCATGACTTCGCTTATCGCACCGCCCCTGTGCTCTTCGCAGAAGTTGATGTGGAGTTCCGAAATGGCATATTTACCCGCCCAGCGCGCATGGCCGCCCTAGAGCGCATTGGAAGCTGTATCAAATCTCTTAATTTTAATATACCCCATTCGCCGGAAACTTTTCTTCCGCCGTTATTAGATCCCGTTACTGGAGAGGAGCGAACCTTTGTCTACGAACCACAAGTTTACGCCTCCTGTCCCGCAGCGTCGAGACTCAGTTTCCCAAGATATGGGACCTGGGAAATGACGGAACTGTTAACGAGGCAGTACCCGCCATTATTCCACGCGGTGACGAATGTGCCATCGTTCATCCGCGCCTTCAATGCCATGACTTCACTCCGGCACCTAAAGGTGTCCTGCAATGGCCAAGGGGCTGGACACCGCTACCGCCGTAGCGTAGTCGACTATGCCCTCATATCACTTCGAATCGCAATTGAACAAGCACCGTTAAAGTCTCTCGACACGCTCTCCCTCCTCCCAATCCACCCAGGAGCACTCCTTTACCTCCGCCCAAACATGGGCTTCGGCGCATCACCTTCATCTCGTAAACGCTGGGCGCAAATCCGCAAGCTCTCCATTGAAATGGACAGTTTCCCGTACGACACTGACAACGTCACCGCCACCACCACCACCACCTCCCCTATCAACACCACTCCCACCTCGACACGCACCAGCAGCAGCGGTAGCAGCAACAGTTTCAAGAAAACTAACCGCCCCAAAGACCATTTAAAACTTCTACACTCCTACCTTCAATCCTTCCCCACCCTTACCCACATCACCTTCCGCTGGCGCGGTACCCAGGGCCCCTGCCCCCTCTCCCTCTCCACAGAGCCATGCCTCCAACCAACCGCCACCGAACCGGCGTCAACCCTCTGTCCCAAACGCTGCCCCGCGCCGCTCCAGCCGCTCAGTTTCCCCCACCTGCTCTACGCAGAGATAGAGAACGCCCTGCTGGACGCCGCGCAGGTCTCCGCCTTCATCCTCGAGCACAGGCAGACGCTGGGCGAGTTTTACTTTGAGAATACCTCGCTGCGCGATGGGGGGACGTGGGATGAGGCGCTTGCGCCGTTGACGGAGATTTCGGGGAGTGAGAGGTGGAAGGGGAAGGGCAAGGGCAAGGGCAAGGGGATGCGGAAGCGGAAGAAACAGCAGCAGACGCAGAGGGAGAGGGAGAGGCAGAGGGAGGGGCAGGGTGAGGAGGGGGTGGCGGAGGAGATGGATGTGCCAATTATGTTTAGTCCGGTAGGGATGGGGCGGAGCCAGGTGTTGAAGGTGCTGTGGGAGGAGGAGAGGAGGAAAGACCGGCTGAAGAATTTTCGGGCGTACGGGGCTGCTGGTGCTGCTGGTGCTGCTGGTGCTGCTGGTGCTGTTGATGATGGCGGTGGAGGAGGGGGGTGGAAGAGTAAAAGTCATTTGCAGCGGGCGAGCTCGCGGACGAGGGATTTGTTGTGGTGCAGGCAGGATCATGTGAAGAGGTTTTTGAGGACGTCGGTGTTTAGCTGGCGGTAGAAGATGGAGAAGAACAAACACACATACAAAAAAGGGAAAAAAGGGAGAAAAAAAGAAAAAGAAAAACAGGACATTTTGGATAACGTGGATTTGATATTTTGTGAAGGGGAAGGGGGTGTTTTACTGGTGGTTGGGATTTTATCTTCATGTTTTCATTATCCTAGGGTTGGGATGGTAAGGTCTGGTTCCTTGCGGAGGAGGTTCGTTCATCAGGGGGCGGAAAAAGAAACTGAGAACACGCACAAAAGAAAAAAAAAAAAAAAAAAAAAAGGTATATCATCTTGGGAACAAAAAGGAGGAGAGAGATATGGATATATTTTTCTCTCGGGCGGCGCAATTTATTCTTTTCATCATATCCATATGGGATGGAACAGAATCTGGAAGGTTGGGGTGGGTGGCTCTTTATGAAAACGCGCCATGATTGCCATTGATCTATGATGTAGTTACATGTATGTACATACGATTTTGATGAAGCGATGTAGCTTCCATTTACGCTCCTTTTTATTGACCCTTCTCCTTTGTTTGAGTGTTTTTGTATCGTCGACTATTATTTTGTTTTCTCTCTTGTTGCTGCTATTGATGATGCACCTCTAGCCAGCATTCGACATTCTTTTAACAATTGAAATTTATCATGCTTAATTAAAATGAGTAAAATGCAGTTACAGTTTCTCTGTGTTCTTTTTTTTTTTTTTTCACACACCAAAAGTAAGCAATATTTAGAAGCACCAGATCTCCCAGCAATCATGTGTTCCGTGAAAGCTCCGAGACAAGGGAACAACCAACGGATAGTTGTTATTAGTTAAGTTACTAATAAGTAAAAGTTACTTCCGTACGGAGTAGTTGGTTAAGAATCAAATAACTAACATAATCAAAATAACTTAAGTTAACTAAGTTAACTAGTTAATGAAGCTTCCTGTTCCCCCAATAATGTCGCATCCCAGCTAGCCTAGCCTCGGCAAGCGTGGCTGCATGCTCGCTCTTGTCCCAGCTTCCCCATATTCACATGTTCGAGGGAAGCTTCGGAGGTTAACAAAAAAGAAAGACAAGCAAGATTAATCAGAATCGAACCCTTTTCCCAACGGAAAAAAAAGAATATATAACTACTAATAACTATCAGGGACTGGTGGGGTGGTGCCACTGCTCCGAAATCCTTTCTTTGTTTTTTTTTAATCTTCGTTTCATCTTCATCTTCTTTCTTCCCATCTCATCCCTCCATACAGACAACAAACAACCTCATCTCACTTCTCTCCTTGAAAAACTGAAAAAAAGACCACATTACAACATTCACAAAATGTCTCTCGCAAACCGTAAGTAATCGCTCGCCTCCAACTGTTATATCTATCCATCCCCTTATCGTCTCCCATCCCATCCCGTCAAACAGACCCCAAACGATGTCCCCTTCAAACCAACCAACTACCCAAGTTTCTTTCTTTCCTTCATCATTTATTTACTTCTTTATTTATAAAAAAACACCTGAAAACTAACCCCAAACCAAAATGAAAAAATGAAAAAAAAATTATAGCCGCCTTCCCCTCTTCCGCGGCCTTCGACGCCATCAATGCTGCCATCAACTCCAACCCAGCCGACCGCGAAGATGCCATCAAATCCGCCAAATCCATCTTCTCCTTCGCCCTCACAAACGACAAGGGTGAGACCGAGAGCTGGTACCTCGACCTGAAAGACAAAGGTGTCGTCGGCAAGGGTGCCGCGCCTGCTGGCGGCAAGGCTGATGGTTAGTTTTTATTTTTATTTTTATTTTTAAACCCATACCACATCCCAAGTACCCATTTTCTTTTTCTTGGTTTATAATTACGTTATGTCAAAAATGGTGGGGGGTTTACAAGAAAATACGATGCTGACAAGCAGGATGATAAAAATAGTCACCCTCCAACTCTCCGATGCCGACTTTGCCTCCCTCGTCAGCGGTAAGGCGAATGCCCAGCGTCTCTTTATGGGCGGCAAGCTGAAGATCAAGGGCAATGTCATGAAGGCGACGAAGATGGAGCCTATCCTCAAGAAGGCACAAGGCAAGGCTAAGCTGTAGAGGGTGTGTGTGTGTTGGCAATTTTTGATATGTTTTTTTTTTTTTTTTTTTTTTTTTTTTTTTTTTTTTTTTACATGAACTAGGGGGTGAGGGGAATGTTTTTGTTTCAAATCCTATACATAACTTTTTCTCGACTTTTCGTTTAAGATACACAGATTCCTTCGATTTTCTTTCTTTCTTTCTTTTTTTTTTTCTCTCTGCAAATTGAATGATATGTGGTTTTCGTTCGGAAGTGAATAGGGAGGGGATTCCTCCGGGTTGAGATGTTTTCTCGCGCAGTTTATGAATTAACGTACAGCACGGAGTGTAACTATATCATTCATTCCTTTTTCCCATTTTGTTAGTTTTACCTCCTCCCCCCTTTCCTCGCATTCTCATTTCTATTCCACCCACATAAGCAATGCATATAATAATCATACAATCCGGCCCTTGAATTCCCATGCACCCCACTCTCCTCTCCTACAATATCAATATCAATTCCACCACCCCGCAAGCGTAGATAGATAGGTAGATAGATAGATAGGTAGATACCCTTGCACCCTTGCCATTCATTGTGCCCCCAATACCTCCTTGCTCAGAAGAATCCAAAAACCCCCGGTCGAAGCTTGTATGTATGTATACTGTGTGGCTGGATACAAATCAAAAATCCCGCCCTCCGTGTGATTTTCTCTTCACTCGTTTCTCCCAGGCCGTCTGACATCCTGTGGACAAAGTTGCCGAACCTGAGTGAGGTCGAGTCATATACAAATGAAGGACGTACACAGTAGCAGCCAAGTGCGACAAGCCTTATCTATCTAACCCCCGTTCATACTCGTGTCGGTGCGATTGCCCCAGTTCAATTTCGTGTCCTCGATCTCAAGAAGAACATCTGTCAAGCAGAGTGGTCCATAAAATTGCGGGGCGAAAAACACCTGTTGAGGAGAGGGAGGATAATATTCTGGAGCAAGTGCACGGCATCGCATTATTTTAAAACACATAGGTACAGTTTGGTATCTATTGTAGATGGATAGAGAGTACAAGTACAGAGGTTAGTCAGACGTTGGATAGCAGCAAAAGTAAGTAGTTTACAGTAGAACATCTGTCTGGACAGAATGAAGGGATATCTATCTATCTAACTTCCAGTACCTATGTTCATTGGGTGAGATATAGCATGAAATATAAGAACAGATTTAAAAAAAATATATCCGCTTGAAGCAGATTAGATTGTTGCAAATGAGAATGTTTGCAGTACGAATAGTAGTATACTATTGCTTGTATGAATCCGGCTGGAGAGGGCTGCATCATGTGACATCCGAGCTAACCCAAACAGGAACCCGCCAGCCCTCCTCCAGCCCCGTGGTCTTGGCGGCTCTACAGCCCCAGCCAGCCAGCCAGCGCTCTGTCCGTCCGTGTCAGTTGTAGTTATTAGAAACTACTAACTACTAAACTACTTATTTGTGTGTCGTGTGTCGTGTGCGTGTGTCTGTTCTGCCCTGTTCTGTTCTTTTTTGCCCAGCCCTCGACGACTACAGCCTCAAACCTTCATCCATCATCAAATCATCAACCTCTTCTTCTTTCTTCCTCCTCCTCCCCACTGCGACTTGAATACTACGACGCTCCACCCACTGCCGCCTCGCAGCAACTTGCTACCTCGACCCTCTCCTCTCAATTTAATATTCAGCAGTTTCTGTACTTCCCCGTCCTTCTTGTTGTCCATTTCATAGCGTTGCGGTTGTTTTGCGTTGTTGCAGCCCTCCTGGTCGTCTCTGCCGCCCTCCCTCTTCACTGTCGCGTTGGTGTTTTGGGGGCAAACTAAAAAAAAAAAAAAAAAATTCTTTTTTTTTTTGCCTTCTTCAACTAAAGGTGGGTTACCACACCAACAAAGGATATTCCCATTTTGACTACCCGAGATACGGAAAGAGAATTAGAAAAAAAAGAAGGGGAAAAAAAAAGAAAAGAAAAGAAAAGAAAGAAAAAAGTAACGCTATTGGCAAGAGAACAGAAATAATACTAACCTCCCTCGATAGAAGCGACTAATTCCCAGTTAATATTCACCCTTTGAACACAACACCACCACCTCCCTTCACTCTCATCACAGTGGGATTCAGCGAAACCGATCATAATAGGTAAATCACCAACATATATCGCACACCTCTTTCCCCTGTCGATGTCCTAATAATATCCCTCATACTCGAAAAATCCTCTCCCCAATCACACACACCCAAGGAAAGAAAAACATTCAGGAAGGAAACTCGAATTACTTTGAAAAGCGCATCGTCCATTCGCTCTCACATCTCCTCCATATTCCCCTTACAAAAAAAACCCATCTAGCAGTCTCGGAACCATATTGGGGTTGGAATCAGAGTCCAAGGATTTTTTCTTCCCCCGCGGTTCGGTTCGTTTTGCGGAGGAGAGGAGGGACTGGCGACGTCATACGTTGAATCCGCTTGTCGATGTCGAAAAGAGCAGCCCAGGTTCAGGGTGGAAAGGAACTTGCAGGTGGTTTCGGAAACGAGATGTCTGCGAATTCAGCTGATACGCCCAAGCGGGCTACGGCCGCGCAGTTGGCTAGTAGAAAGTGAGTTGTGCCCTTTTTGATATGTCCGTTTGAATCCATTTTCCATTTCCATTTCAGTTTTTGCTTTTGCAAAGACGTTCAAGTCCGTTTTCATTGCTTTGATTGCTTTCATTTTTCATTTTTCCCTTTCATCACATCATAAGTCTCATGCAAATATGAGCCAACCGATTCATTGGTTGAAATATCTTGCCTTATCTTGGAGATCGATCCTCTTGTGTGCCCCAGAAAAATTCACCATGCAGACCTGCAAGCAAGAAACAGGTCTGGTCTGTGCTTTGATTTTATTATTTCGTCTTCAACCTTCCGGTATCATGCAATGGTCCCCGCTCCCCAGCGCTCCTTTCCTTATGCTTTTTTTTGTCTTTTTTTTTTTTTTGTCTTTTTTGTTGCTTGAAACTTTTAACTGGCATGTGTTGGCTACACTCATCCTGAAGTGTACACCGGGCGGCCTCGATATCAACACCTTGACTCCGTGCTCCCCCCATGTTGTACAGTCAGTCGGTGTATCTGCCTCTGCGTGGACACCCTTTCACTCCTATCTGGTCGGCGTTTCCCCCACCTTTTCAGTCCAAGGGCTATGATCAATCCGCGCGCGAGCTCAAAGCTTTGTCGGAGTCTGCGAAATTCTCCAAGATGTTGTCATTGTTACCTCACATGTTGCGGCTAGCTTAGTGACGGGCAAGTCGCACCCACAGTTTGGGACATTTGTTTTGGGGCACGATGGAGTTTTATTCACTCTGCTGTTTTTATGATTACCAATGTTCTCTTTATTCGTTCTTCTCTCTCTAGACGGAACTTCCAATAAGCACCTATACTGATGACTTTACAGAATCAAGCAGGCTCGGCAGCGTACTCGCATAGCCTCACCAAACTCTGCGTCTTCTACCTCACAATCATTTACCAGTCCTTTCAGCGCTATCGACCCGAACATTGTTCCCCCTACCTCCTCGACTCCGACAAACGGCTTTAGCTTTGGTCAGGCTCAGAGCTTCCCTCAGACGGGCCCGGGCACTAGTACAACAACAACTCCACAATCTTCTTTCTTTGGCGACCAAAACAACTCGGGCCCCAAGGTGTTTGGTAGCCAGGCAGGTTCTGCACCATCATCATTCAGTTTCACACCATCAACGACTCAGGAAATAAAGAATCCTTTCGCTAGTATGTCCTCCGGGTTTGGTCAGAGCCAGGGATCAACGGGAGGTTTCCAGGGCTTCCAGGGTAATACCTTCAATATTCCTGGGACTGCTACAAACCAGGACGCCCAGAACAAAGCTGGTCAGCAAGCGCCAACGGGTGGAATGTTTGGATCTTCTCAGCCACCACAGCAGACCCCTTTCACATTTGGGGCCACTTCCGCGCCCAAAAGTGCTTCGCTCTTTTCGGCCGCACCTCCCGTTTCTACCCCAACATCAACATCTGCCCCTATTTTCGGCCAGTCAACTGGAGGTACCATTTTTGGCGCATCGACACCGTCGACACCCTCGACACTGTCCACAAATATATTCGGTGCTTCTTCTCAAGCTAATAAGCCAAGTGACGAGATGCAAATGTCACCGCCTGCCAAAAGTAACGGCACTGGTGAAAATAGGGCCAATCAATTTAGTATTTCGCAGCCATCATTTACTTCCTCAACAACTCAGCCGTCTATATTTGAGACATCCGCCTTCAAACCCGCCGCACCTGCTACGTCATCTACTTCACAACCATTCTCGTCCATTTTCATCACGACACCATCCAGCGGCGCAACTCTCTTTGGAGCCATGAAAAAGCCTGATGAGACTCCAAAACCTACTTCTTCCTCCACTGCGCCTGCGACATTCTCATTTACCCCTTCCACTGCTCCTGGTAGCTCAATATTTGGACAGGCGAGTAAGCCTGAGGACCAAGCAGCAACCGCAATCACCACAACTTCGTCAGGAGCGTCATTTTCTACTTCTTTCCCGGTTCCGGCTCCGGCGCCCGCTCCCTTCAGCCTTTTTGGTACCACTGCGAAGCCCAAGGAGCCGTCATCAGCGCCATCTGCAACTGAAGATAAAGTTTCGTCAACTAAATCCGCAGTTCCAGAGCCTCCTACCACCCCTGGAGCTTCATTGTTTGGACAGATTGCAAAGCCGCCGGAAGAACCCCAAGCGTCGTCTACGCCTACGCCAGAAGCCGAAAAACTACCGACAGAAAGCCCATCCATTGCTCCAGCTGCGACTCCATCTGCCAGCCCTTTTCCATCTACACCTAGCGGCGGTACTTCATTATTTGGCCGTGCTAGCAAACCTGCCGAAACTATCCAACCCACCTCTATTTTCAACACCCCAGCTACTAGCACGACTCCCAGTGCACCCACCTTCTCATTTACTCCATCATCGACTAGTATTTTCCAGACTCCAAAAAGCGCTTTAGCAACTTCCGATGGAGAGAAGACAAAGGAACCTGCCCAAAGTGCTACAGGCCTATTTCAAACAAAGGCCGCAACTGACACCACGCCAAGCGGTACCAGCAAGCCGTTTACGTCTTTGTCACAAGCTCAACAACCACCTAGCAGTTTATTTGGATCCACTCCATCACCATCTCTATTTAAAACCTCAGCTGGTCCAGAAAAGGCCCCATCAACACCTCAAGCGAGCTCCACTTCTCCTCCTGAAAAGTTCACTCCAAAGCCTCTCTTTTCTGAAATTTCCAATGGTGTAGCCGGAACCACCAAGGCGATGGACACATCTCCAACGAAAGCACCAGCTCCTCTGAAGAGAAAAGAACCTTTGGTCCCTAAATCCCGACTTGCTTCATACGGCCCTCCGGCGATCCCACGAGAACTTAACAACGATGAACGAGCGGAATTCGACACCGAGTGGCGGTTGAACGCATTGAATGCTTCCTTCCAGAAGCGTGTCGCAGAAGCGGACCCCAAGTCGGACGATATTGATGTCTTGGTCGAATTCTATGTGAGATTGCGTGAAAATATCGGCGTTCCGATGGGATTGGCTGTGGTCCCTAAGACAGGAAAGAAGCGGAAAGCAGTTGAGGAAGATGGACATGTTGCAGAAGATTTCTCACATAATAAGCGGACTAAGGGTCTCCCCACTTTCACGAGTCAGCATAAAACGGACGCCGCATCGGTCTCCTCATCCCCCGCTGCTGTGGGTGGTAGCAGTTTATTTGGCGAGAAATCTACAAGTGCAAGTGCTAATTTTTCTTCAACTGCTTCTCCATCCGGAAAGCGCAAGATGACTTGCATTGAAGACGACGCTAGCAGCCGCAGCGAACCTGGCAATGTCAGTGGGAAAAGACGCAAATCCACTGGTGAATCTACGGCCGGAGCGAGCCCACTTCAGAAATCCAGTACCAACAGTGAGAAGAAGAAAGGTAATAATGGCCATACTAGTTCCGGTTCTGGTGTGAGTGCAGCTTCTGATACCGTGACAATGTTTGCGACATCATTTGTATCCCAATCACAAAGGGGAAATAGTCCCGTGAGATTCACGGCCCCGTTTTCGTCTCTCTCTTCCACACAGGACAGTGCTGAGGGGACTGCTGCTTCCTCTGGTTCATTGCAGGGATCTGAGAGCGAGAACGATACTGAAAGCAATGCTTCGGCGGGGGAAGACGATGGAGAAGGCGAAGAAGAAGAAGGAGAATCTGAGTCTTCCGCGACGCCACCGCCTACGACCAATGGTGGGCGCAGTCTATTTGACAGAGTAGAGCTAGATCAGAGTGGCAAGCCAGTGCGTCAGGATGTGCTGGAAGCGGAGGACAAGGTCGCGATTCCGAGCCCTGGAGAAAAAGATTCAAATTCGGCCGTTTCATCGTTATTCGCTGGATCTAAATTTGCTTCCTCGTTCAACTCACCAGCGTCCATTGGCACCCCGCAGTTCTCAAACGGATTCGACTTCAAATCCCCAGGAGCTTTATCTCCAACAAATGCTAGCCCGGAAGCCTCAGACGCGAACTCCCCACCTGTCATACTTGCCAGTAGCGCAGGCACATCCACACCCACTGCTCCCGTCGCTTCAGCAACCACCTCGTCCCTCTTCTCAAAGGCGACTAGCTCTCTCCTACCCAACGGCAGCGCCCAACTCTCTCCCTTGCCACTCTCTGCCGGCACATCCGCCGACGTCAGCCGCGCTACAACCCCCAACCTCTCCGAAGCAGGCGCCGAGGAACCGGAGGAATCCACCGAGGAACTTCCTCAAGTTGACTTACTCCGCGGGGGCACGGGCGAAGAGGACGAAGACGAAGTCTTCGAAGCTCGCGCCAAAACCCTGAAGCTAGGTGTTCCGCCGGACGCCGATGATGAAACGCCGAAATGGCTGTTACAAGGGGTGGGACTGCTGCGTATCCTGAAGAATAAGACGACAGGGCGATCGCGTATATTGGTTCGCGCGGATCCGAGCGGGCGAGTACTGCTTAATACGAACCTTGTGGCGGCAATTAACTATAAGAGTGTGGGCAGTGCGGTTCGGTTTCTAGTACCGCTGGAGCCGAAGCCGGAGAATTGGATCGCGATGGTTAAGAAGGAGGATATTGCGGTGGAGCTTGCTAAGGTTATGGAGAAGTATAAGACATGAATAGGTGGATGAATTATGTTGCAAGTAAGGTTAAAAACGAGGGTTTGGCAGAGCATTTTCAGATGCTGTAACCCTGTTTACCCGGTTTGGTTCATAAATTATACGTTTGTTAGGGCTAGGTTGGATGGAGTGGGATGAGAAAGAAATGAAAGAAGAAAGAAAGAAAGATGGTATGGTATGATGAGGGAGCATGGAATTGGGAAAATGTTTATAAATGAGGGCCGAGGGTCCGGTCTTGTTTTCATGTTTGGAAACAGGTGCGGATGTGGATGTGGTTTGCTCATTTCTTGTCTGTTCATTTTTTTTACTTCATTCCTTCCACCCTTTCAAAGGCCCGTCAAAACACACTCACAACCTGGCGTTATTATTAACTCTTGTCTTGTCTTTCCTCTCTTGATATTTGTCTCTTCTTTTCCCTCTTGTCTATCATACTCCAAATTTTCGATATATCTCCCTGTTTTGCTCTTACTCTGTTTATTATTCATATTCATTTTCTTTGCCATCATGGTTTCTACTCTCTTGTCTGCTTCTTACAACATAGCAATATTTTTCTGTTCCATTCTTTCTACTTCCTCGTTCCCCTTGGCGAATATCTATTCTATTCTATTCTATCCATTCTTCTTCATTTCTCCATGTTACTCCTATCATATTTCCCTCTGCGTCGTCTACTGCAATGAAGAAGCAAGCTGGTTTTCAACATCTGATGCTTTATTTTATTTTATTTTCGTTATGCTCTATCTAAGACTTGACTTGGGCCCGGTGCAAACGCAAAGAAAGAAATATTTTTTTAAACAACGAAAAGACACCATATTCATCCATCCTCTTCCTTCCCTCTCTAGCTCATTTATATCTATCTTCCGCCCTTTGCCTCCGCCTTCCCTCGCCCGCGGTTTTCTTAAACCCTAGGCTGTGCTGCAAGTTTCAAATTCCAACTTTCTCTCCATGCCCCCCTTGCCAGCCCGTCCCATCCCGTCCAACTCCCCGTCTTTATGTATTGTGCATATATGTATGTACATGTACATGTACCTATACTCTCCAGCTCCCTTTTCGTTCCGGCCTTACGATCATATCTCTCCTTTTTTTCTTGTCCCCTGAATGATTATTTTTTATTTTATTATTATTATTATTATTATTATTATTATTTTTGCAAGATCTTTATGAATGAAGACTCCAGTTACGCTCACGCGCTCACGCCCCTTTCAACGAGAACTTCCCTCAGCATGCCTGCAGCCTGCACTTTGACAAGCTGTTGTCTGTTATTATTGCCTTTGTTGAACGCCTTTCTAACCGAACCACCCCCCCCCCCCCTCTCCCCCAATTTTCTTATCTAGCATCACGACTTCGCCTTTATGTCTTTTCCCCTGACGTTTTACATGATACTTACTATTTTGTTACAGAAGAAAGGTGTTGTGTTGTTCCGTCTAAGGCTAGCATATCTAGTTTCGGATTTTGAGAATGGGAAGGAAAGGAATGATGGATGAATGAATGAATGAATGAATGGAAGCATCCCGAGGAATTTGCTTAAATGAATTTGACGTGTGGAGGGGTGGGTGGGTGTTATTATGTATGGATGGGATGGCCTCTCTCTCTATCTACATTTTTGGTTTTCCGGCGATGAGCACGGACGGATGCACTTTATTTCATTCAAGATACTCTCTGTATTTATAACATGGTTGACGCAGGGGCGTAAAGGTATATATATAGTTGTGAAAAACATCCATTCAAGGCATGACCCTTTTGTTCAATAATCCCATTTTTGTTTGGCGTGGCGCCTCACATTACGCTGTGATAAGAGCGCGTGTGTTGTTTCCTTTTTCTCTATAAGGTACATACATCACAATTTTTTTTAAAAAAGAAAGGGACAAGAAGGGTCCCAAAAGGAAAAAGGTTTTAACTCCACGCTGCCTTGCCAAACACTACGACACACGCACACACACACATGTATGTCGTCCCGCGCGTAAGAAATCAACTGAAAAGCCAAATCCTCTTATGCCTCATCAATGACGGATGTCTGCAGACCCTTTGGCTCCTTGACGTTGACGGCCTGTACGAAAGAGTACAGCTTCTCCTTGGCACCCTCCTCGTCATTACGCTTGCGGCTGATGCGCACGCGCAGACGGAATGGGACGCCCTTGATGCCGGATTCCCAGACCTTCTTGTTCAGCTGGGGGTCGAGACGGACGTCTTTGGTGCCCTGTTCGTGGAGATATGGGGGGGGGTGATGGCCCCAATAATGGTTAGAATTTCTCGAGTAATTTTTTTTTCTTTTTTTGGGGGGAGGGGAGATAGAGAGCAACACAAGGAGGGGAAAATTGGGAAGGAGGAGGAGGTTGGAATGAAAACGTACCATAGCCTGCTCAGCGAAGGCGCGGATCTCCTTGATAGCTCTGGGAGCCCGCTTCTTGAAGGAGACACCATGAACCTACAAATCCCGAAGAAAAAAGCGAGAGGTAAAAATCAGTCTTCCGTCCGAAATGCCCAATTGCTTTTTTTTTTTTAAAGGAGAAAAAGTTTTCATCCATCAATTTGTTTTTGCTTCTGCAAGGTAGGGGCCATAGAAAGTGGACTTCATAAAACCAATTCGTGCTCTTATTTTTTCTTCTTTTTCTTGTGCTCTTACTTTGATCTTCACAAGATCGCATGTGCATCATGTATGTGTTGTGGGTCTTTTCGCGTCGTTCCCTTTACGTTGGCAGTATAGACCCTCGCGATCGAATTTAATCGAATCGGCCACAACACATATCCGCTTTCCCTTCCATCTGTTCTTCTTTCTCTTTTTTTCTTTTTCTTTTTGCGGTTTCATTTCATCTGTCCAATCTTTCCATATTTCCCATTCCCATTGCATACTCGCAGAAAGACGGAAATGGTCATTGATTTGGGTATAGAACGCCCCGGACGATGTGCAGTGTCCTTCACGTTTCTTCTATTCTTCTTCTCCGTCAGGGGATGTCAAACTGGTGGCACATACTCTTCTGTGGAGATGGATGGTGTACTCGCGCGCGACAACGTCGGCGATGGCAGAGCGTTGGCTCTTCTTTCCAGCTTTGGCGGAGGACATGGCCTATGTTAAAGATAAGCAAGCGCTTGGTTAGCCGGTCGAAATTTCCTTTAATATCGCATTGAAAGTGTAGGCTACTTAATTGACTTACTACAAGGGGCGGCAGAGATTTGGTGTGAATGGATGGTTGTCGTTGTCGTCGTTGCGGGTGCGAAATCTTCGATATACGATCGTGAAGTTTTGGGCGAGAGCAGACGGCAGTGTGGCTCGCTTAGACTTCCAAATTAGGCAGGGTGCTTGAATATCACGTGATGGAATTCCGCTCCTTCCTGTTTGGGAAATAAATGCAAAATCTCCAAGGACAGCTGCGATCTATTAGATTATATGCTTTGCCATTTTACGGTTATGTAATAGCATTTGATATGTTCTGTGTCTTTGCTATTGTGTGTTTAAGTCCATGAACTACGGATTGGAATCCACGGCGGGCCCAAGAAATTGTATGGAGTCGATTCAAATGCGTCACAAGCGGTTCTAGGGAGCAGAGGCGCGGACGGATTGAGCTTGCCCTTCTCACCGTACTTCATATATCATGTCATTAGTCGAGTAAATAGCTTATTTGTCAAATGCCCTCATTCCTCAAACTTGATATCCCCCTTGCTGATATCAGGATACACATCAAACCGCCGCTGCTCATAAATGGGAATGCCCTTCCTAATATCCTCAATCACCTGGGGCTCTAGATCGGCATAAACGATCTCCTCACTCTCTGCAGCCTCCACCAGAACTTCTGCCCGGGGATTCACAACCAAGCTATGGCCCCATGCATGGTACGTGGCATTCATATCCCTAGCTGGACTGCACAGACCAACGTAGACCTCATTATCCATCGCCCTCGCCCGTCCCAGCAATGACCAGTGCAGAGGCCCCGTAGTCATGTTGAACGCGCCAGGGTATACCAATAGGAAAGCGCCCTTGCGTGCCGCAATCATTGCAGACTCCGGGAAGCGTATGTCATAGCATATAGCTAGACCAACCTTGCCATACTCCGGTAAATCAACGATGGTTATCTTATTACCCGCCGTCAACACCTCGCTCTCTTTGAAAGTGATTTTTCCCGGGATGTCGATGTCGAAGAGATGTGTCTTGCGGTGGGTGGCAATCAGTGTGCCTGTAGGGGAGAAGACGAGGGAAGTATTGTAATATTTATTGCTCTCTGGGGCGAATTCGGGGATGCTGCCGCCGATTATATAGGCCTTTGCTTCTGAGGCTAGGGTGGACAAGGTGTGGAAGGATGGGGATTGCTCCTTTGAAGGTGGAGAGGGGAGAAACGTCTCTGCATATTTTGGAAAGTACTGGGTGCCGTAGGGGGAGTTGAAGCATTCTGGTAGGACGATGAGGGATGCGCCAGCCTTTGCGGCTTCCAGCACTTTGGTGCGCGCGTGTGAGAGATTGAGAGCTTTATCTGCGCCTGTATCATATTATCATGATGTTAGAGAAGGGCGTTTCGATTCAAGACTTGAGTCTCATTGGAATATCCATCCATCGCGGAGAAGCTGCTTTGCGGTGAGGAGGGGGTAAATTGGAGGTGATGTCATTCGCGTATTTGGATCGTACCTGAGGCCAATTGCACCAGGGCAAGCTTCAACGGCTTCTTGAGAAGAGCAGCCATGATATCTAATGGGTGGGAGGCGAAGAGAGGATTTGCTCTGTTAAACCAGCGATAAATGAATGACAATTGCTAGTCTGATAGTTGTACGGGTTTCTCAAGAAATAGAGGGTTGACTCTCGGCTAAACATAGGCTCGGCTTTGAAGTTGATAAGGATAAGTTAAGCCATCATATCATGATGCATGATTATTTATCTATTCTTTTTTATTGTTTATTATTAAATTTCATTTTTTGGGCGATCATGATAATCTCTGCCATTGTCTAGTAATAATTAGGAGAATATTTAGAATGCATGACATATCTATTCAAAAAAGGTCTCTGAAAGACAGATTAAGAATGATTGTTACTGTTAATGCTATAACTAGTTATAGTGCTGAAGTCATTTAGAGACATAGTTGAATAGAATATGCCAAACAGTTGGCCCATCAATATTTGAAAATGAGAAGCTTGACACCAAAAGTAAGGGGGCATTCCGAACAGTTAGCAACTGTATATAGAAGATTTTTTAATCATAAAAACACTTGTATAGATAGATATCTGTTGGGGGTCCCGGGTTGATCGGCCCTTATACCAGCAGTGCGCTTACTCCGTAGTTAGCCTACAATATCATTGCCCTAGATATGAAGGTCACATGACTGTGACCATTTTGCTTTGTGATCAATCTCATTGATCTCATTGATTGATTCTGATCACCAGATACATGCTGAAGATGGTAGTCTCATATAGTTTCAGTGAGACTCCTAACTCATCTAGTCATGATCATATTCACTGAATGAGATCAGGAGTGAAGCAGCTGAGTTTAAATAATTCAGCCTCAACATTTGGGTTCACAGCAATGAGGATAATCACCCGGAACACATTTCAACAGAATCCAGCATATAAACGAGCAGCAATCTCTTTTTGGATATTTCAAAACGAATACACCGAACTAAAACTAAGAGCAATAGCTTAATTGAAGAACAGAACATCTTGGACAGCCTTTGTAATCTAGGCTTCTGTTCCAATGGCCATGATTTTAACAGTTCACCTACAACCCACAACTCCCAAGTCCAATTCCATTCCTGTTTGTGGGGATGCGCTGACTTGTACGGAAACTGTGGGTTAGCAAATGTACCAACAGTCAGCTATGGAGGACTCCGCAGGGGTGGATATCTGGAGGGACGGCCCTAACTCCCTGGAATAAACTAGAATATCAAAATTGTATGCAATTACCCTGTACCAAAAAACAGTGATATGTCATTGAACTGACTGTTTATGTACGTACCCCGTACATAGCTTTGCCCGGTTATTCGACATTTGGTGAGTTGGCATCAGCTGGCCCAGTTAGAAATCGGGGCGCAATTCAAGCGTGTTCATTACATTCCGGGAGGATAAGGCTGAAACTCCCCATTTCTATCAGGGAACGGGACGTGGGATGCAAAGTATACAAGATCTTAGACGATGACCACCCATTGTATATCCCAGGGTACTTTCCTGGCAAAATGACCAAAGCTAGTGCCAAAGCCCCCAGTCTCTTCATACCCTTTGCAGCAGATTTATGCCCTGTCTTTCTCTGATATCTGTCGTTATCATTTGCGATGTCGTCCTGGCTATCTTCGGTTTTATCGAGGGTACTTCCGCCGTCCCGAGGGGACAGCCATGGCCGGGACAGTGCACCATCGGACTTACTTCCAGATCACGATCTTCACAACTCCTGGGGATGCAATTACTCAGCCCAGAGCGTCTTGAATCATGAACGAATACTGCCTTTGTGGGAACAGTATGGGCGTGACCCAACCGGAGTCCGGCGAAATTACCACAACCTGCTCAGGGAATATACTGCTCTCTTCCGGGACTTCTTCGACGGATACTATCCAATTTCATTGCACGGCCATGTCAGCGACGCACTACTTCCGACCACAGTCTCTAGCCTGATTCAGAACACTTGCGCAACCAGTCCTTTAGTTTTGAACAATCCGACTTTGGCTCCAAGTTCATCCGCCGGGGAAGACGGGAGGAAAATCCAGCAGTTTGTATTGGATTATCTAGGGTGGGAGCAATTGCATGTAGAGCAACCAAAATTTGCGGTTGTTCAGGGATTGTATGGGGCTGCGTTTGGTCCTCTTGTGAGTATTTGGGTTGGACGATTTTTTCACAGGTTCTAAGGGCAACGGTATCTAATCATTAACTCAAAGGCTCATGCCTCCAAAGAATGGGAGATGCAGATCATCGCCTCTGGCCCCAAACCAATCGTGGTTCACGTCGATGACGACATAACGAGAGAAAGTCTGAGTGCATCTTTGGCACAAGCAAAGGCGCAAGGCTGCATTGCAGTAGTTGTTGATATAGTCAGCACAGAGGATGGTTCAGTTCTCTCCCCAGAGCGGTTCAAATTGCTTCAGACGTGCTGCACAGAACACAAGCTCTGGTTTATAGTTGACGAGGCGCTTGCAGCCATCAGATGTGGTTCCCCATTTGCGTTCCAACGGAGCGAGTACGGCAACGAAAAGCCTGATCTGGTCGCATTCGGCAAGGGCTTAGGGACCAGTGGCATCGCCATCAACTTTGATAGCCCCATGACTCGTCCTCTCGGCTTCGTACAGGAAGAAGATATCCTTCAGACCATCATGTACTGGCGCGCCCTAGTCAGTCGGCCAGTAACAATCCCAGTCCTGCTTGAGGCTATGGGCGTTCTCTATACTGCCCAAACTGAGAACTGGGTGCAAAGGAGCCTTAAAATCGGGCAGACTTTCTACAGTGTCATCCAAGCGCACTCACCAGGCGAGCCTGTAAAAGGGCTGGGGGGATTTTTGGCCCTTGACAGAGATATTTCCATGCGACTGCATGTTATGGCGGGGGTTAGAAGGCGATGTCCATGGGTTCGCTGGCTGCCCAAACTTGATGCCGTGAACGCTGACCGTGAAGCTCTGGAGGCCCACGTGTTTGGACCACGAAGCAAAGGTCGCCGGGCAAAACTTAGTGCAGAAGCTGAGGAAAAGGGAACCCTACCACAGTGGTGCTTCGTATGTGGTATAGAAGCAACATCGGAGAACTGGTGCCGTACTTGTTTCTTGGGTTGTTGCAGGAATGAGGTCTGCGATGACGTTTTTAGTTCCCACAGCTGTCTATGACGTCTGTTGGATGGGAATGGGTATCGGGATGTGCGGGGCAAATTTCTTTTCTTTTTCGATTTTCTTCGCCATGAACAAGAGAGTGAATTTCGAGTACATTTGCAACTTCTAGTATACCTGATGAATTTATCATACCCACTGCGAGCTGCGAGATCTATTGGTATCTATGAGGCCCACACCAACCGCAGCAGTCCAACGGCTTCAACATCGAAGACCGTACGTGAAGATATGCAGAGTAGTTGTTCGCCATTGGGTGACTTCCCTGTCATTTCCCTTAAAAACACAGCTGATTATGATGCATTTCAGTCCCGTTCAAAATCGTCTGAAAATAGAAGAACAAGGGGGTTCATGACAGGCCGTGGCGGCGTGCCATTTGTTGCTACACCCACCTTCGCCCTTGGTAGGGTATTTCAGTGGAGATCGGATTGATTATGGTTAGCCAAAAGATTCAGAGGCTGCGGATTTGGGCATCGACACCACCTTCTTTTCCGCCGCTGCCGCCGAACTTACAAAAAATTGAAAGAAAAAAGAAAAAGAAAGAAATTATAAAAATACGAATCATATGATCCTGTCGGATTTCACGGATCTGAGAAGGCATGGTGGAATGCGGCCCCCCACTCCCTCCAACATCCTGCACTGGAATCCGTTCGTGCTGGTATTTCTTGGCTAGCTATGCCGTCCAAGTCAGCGAGGTTTGCCCTTTGCAACCTATATCAGAGAGAGTATGGGACTATTTAATGTGGAACCATGAGGATATGGCTAACCTTTCACAAAAGATTCACTAAGTTACCATCTGAATTTCTTGCTATCATCTGCAGCAATGGCTCGCCTCAACAGCTCCAACGAATACACCATAGGATGGATTTGCGCACTTCCTCTGGAGCGCGCGCCGGCCGAAGAGATGCTTGAGGAAAAACATGAAGAGCCCAAGGACTTCAAACAACCCCGGACGGACAACAACGTGTATACATTGGGCCGTATCGGTGGCCACAATGTAGTCATTGCATCCCTCCCAGCTGGTGAATATGGAACGACGCCCGCAACAGGAGTCGCAATGTCGATGTTATCCACTTTTCCGGAAATCCGATTTGGGCTCATGGTTGGCATTGGAGCTGCCATCCCGCGAGAGGGCAGGGACATCCGACTCGGGGATATCGCAGTCTGCAAACCTGATGGGAAAACCGGTGGTGTTGTTCAGTATGATCTAGGTAAAGCGCTGACAGACGATGAGTTCCGGAGGAAAGGATTTCTCAATAGTCCCCCTGAGTTGCTCCGCAATGCGGTCGGGAAGATCCAAACGGAACACCTCAAGATGGATTCGAAAATTCCTATGTACATAAGCGAGATGCTCAAACGATTGCCATCGATGGCCGAGGCCCGAGATGGCGCGGCAGCCTATGTCCACCAGGGAGCAAAGAACGATCGTTTATTCGAAGCTACGTACGATCATGCAGGCGGGACCGAATGCACCAAATGTAATTTGACCAAGATCATACAACGTGAGCCCCGACGATCGGACAAGCCACGCATCCATTACGGAGTGATCGCATCGGGAAACACGCTGATCAAAAGTGCAAGAGCAAGGGAGAAGCTTCTTAAATATAGCGACGAAGATTGCATCTGTTTTGAGATGGAGGCTGCGGGGCTTATGAATCAGTTCCCCTGCCTCGTGATCCGCGGACTGTGTGACTACGCAGACTCGCATAAGAATGACCAGTGGCAGCCATACGCCGCTGCAGCAGCTGCTGGGTACGCGAGAGAACTGCTTCACTATCTTCCTGTACAAGATGTTGGAAAGGTTCCCACGGCGAATGAAACCCTGAATCGGAGTATGTAGACATCAAGAGCCAGCCCATAATATTCTTTCCCCTATTTTCTCTCTTTCTTTCCTTTTCCCTTTCTTTTATTTATTTCCGCTTTGCTCACTGACCCCGATAGATCCAAACACGAGTTCCAAGCCTTCTAGAACCAACAAGCGCGGTGGTGAAGCTGGAACAAGTGTTCCATCTGGCGGATCTGGGAGTAGCAGCGCGCCACCTGGATCTAGCAGCAGTAACCCACCAGGACCCCCTGGATCCAGAAACCCAACAACCAATAATCCAACAACACCCCCTGGAACAGGTAATCCAACGACACCGCCTGAAACCAAAAACCCGCCCAACGGTCGTGGGGAGGGTGGTCCCCAGACAAACAACAATAATCCCATACGGATCGATGCTGTATTCGACGGGAGATGGCAACACCAGTGGAGGTTGATCTGGGCCGGCCAACACATACAGGAGATCAACCCTAAGTTTGCCTCTACACAAAAGATCTCTGAAATACACTTGACTACATTCGCCCATACCACCTGGGCCTCGTGCATAGTCGAAATCGATCTATTCCACGCTCCCCAGCGAGTGCAAGACACCCCTGAGGTTCGAACAACCATCTGTACCGAGGCCAGTGATGAATCTGTTCCAGTCGCAAGCCCATTCTACCAACAAGTCAGCACGGAAGCTATTACTGCTGGCCAGCCTCTCGCAGATGGCAACAGGACTTGGAACCGCGGCGCCTATTTCCAACCACCCGTGGCGAACTCGAACAAATTCAAATTCCTCGGGCGGCGCGTTATGGGCTGTCAGGGTAAGAGCGAAGAAGGGGGACTGAATTTGGCACCGCTCAATGCCTCTGACTACCGTTGGAGGTTGAAGGATCTGAATCTCGCTGTCGGACCAGAACACCGTATCTACGCTGTAATTCGGACATATAGTTTGTGGGATCAGTTTACTTTTAGGGCTTTGGTAAATGTTTCAATGTTCCGGTAAACCGAACCTAACCCCTTTTCCCTACTATTCTATGTTTACCAGAGCGAATGTAACGGGAATTTCAAAAGTAAGCCTATCGGTTTATAGCCCTATATATATATATATATATATTTTTTCTAAATTTGAATCATCCGCAGGTAGCCATACTGCTTGAAAAATACCATGTTTATCATGCGGGTATTCTCCCTTCTTCAACGGCAAGTGAGAAAAGTCAATGCAAAAATTGAAAATTGAAAATAAGAAAACTAGATAGTATAGTTACCCTGCAACGAAAAAGTATTCTGTTACAGAGAATTGCAAATTAATTTTTCTAAAAAATAAAAAAAAATAAAAAACTAAAAACAAAAGAATGTGATCCTGACAACGTTTTAGCAACGAATCAGAATGGTTATTCAGAATGCTGAGAATACATAAGCGATGCAGCGTCCGTCAACTCGGAAAAGTTGAGGGAACTACCTCAAGCACCCGTCTCGCCCTACAACACCTAGAAGTATGATTTAACGCCGACCACGATGGCTTACGAATACTATCCTATTCAAGGAATCAAAGTAGGCCTAGGCCCGGACAACCAGGTACCCATCAGACGGGAGTTTAATGAATGGAGTACAAGCCAAAAGCGTAGGGATCAAATACAGGTTGCTCTATTTCTCCTGGCTCTCAGTGATTTCCAGGCCATTCCCCCAGACTCAAGGGATTCTTATTTCCAAATTGCAGGTGGGCATGAAACAAACCATGAAACCTAGCCCCCAGTTTCCGCACAGATATCTAATTTTTCTCTCCAGGTATCCATGGCATGCCTTACAAGTCCTGGGACGAGCCCGGGATTACTGCTCAAGAGACTCACTTAAAGGGCTATTGCGTGCACGCAAATAGCCTGTTTCCAATATGGCATCGGCCGTATCTGCTACTCTACGAGGTATCTACATGCTTGCACTTTACATCTCGATCTGATACGCCTCGCCTCATCCTTGCTCACCAGAAGGAAATGAACAGCAACGCATCTACGAGATAATGGTCGATGTTATCATTCCACGATTGAGACTGCCTGGGAGAGTAGAGGAAGAGTGGCTTGAAGCTGCGTATCAATGGCGGCTCCCATTCTGGGACTGGGCGAAGTATCCAAAGATACCGGACCTTATGAGCAAGCCAAGGATTCGGCTCAGGTTTCCGGCAATGACCATATATAATCCGCTTTACAAGTTCGAGATGCCCAACGGTAAAAAAATGGGCGTCTACGGCCTCGGAACGCTCAAGTCCCCAGATTTCGACGATGCGCTAGAGGTACGTGTGCACAATAAACACCACTATCGCACATCCAGATTAACTTACATTGGAGTGCATGCATTAAGTACGGGGAGTGTTACGCTACCAGTCGTTGTCCGACGCCAGGAGAACGTGTGCCTACCAGCAAGAAATGGAGGGAGGGTGTAGTCAACAATGAGGCAGCAAACAAATTCATGACCAACCACGAGTCAATTACGGATTTCGATTATGGTAAAACAACGGAGATGGTGTACAGACTGCTCACCTATCCGATGGATTTCGTGAGCTTTGCAACTACGGCAAGGGATGCTACCATGGACTCTTCAAGTGCATCCAAAGTTACCAACGACATGAATATAGAATTCATCCACAACAACATTCACTACTGGGTTGGTGGGAATGGAGGCCACATGTCCCAAATTCCGGTCGCAACCTTTGACCCCATATTTTGGTTCCATCATTGGTATGGCATGACTGTCCATGCATGTATCTACTGTTGCTAATTGTAACTATCTTTCGGGTGACAGTTTTCTCGATCGCCTCTTTGCAATTTGGCAAACGTTGAATCCAGAAAAGTGGTTTAACGCGGATAAAACGAGACCATTTGATCAAAAAATAATCGGAATGGGTGATATCGTCACATCCAAGGCACCTCTTAGACCTTTTCACATGGATGAAGCAGGGACCGTCTGGACACCAGATGGTGTTCGTGATTGGTTCAAGTTGGGATATACATACCCGGAACTCCAGCGTTGGAACTATGGCGATAACTACAGGGAGGAACTCTTTCGAGACGTGAATGATACATATGGCGCCCTAAGGAAAGAAGCCATAGCAATGGGCAAACCAGACAGCAAACTACCAGATGTGGTACAGGCTGGGGAAAATGGTGTCTCAATGAATGACTATGCCGTGAGCATCAGATACTCCAAGTGAGTATTCCCAATATCTATAGTACCTGCATTATAGTTTCTCGCAATCTAAATCAGTCAGGTTCGCCATGGGTGGCCATCCATTCAATCTTGAGGTTTATCTACGACCTGAAAACGAGACGGAAAATAAATTTCGACCAGAAGACTTTGTCACCAATGTTTACAACTTTAGCCAGCCAGCGGAGCAAAACGGCGAAACAGTTTGCTCTAACTGCAATGATCTGGAGGAGCAAGACGTGCAGGTCATCGCATATATTCCGATCACACCGTACCTGGTCAAAAAAATTGGCCAACAGGCGCTGAAGGACCTTACACCAGCTACCGTTGAACCTTTTCTCTCAGGACTGTACTACAGAGTCACTATGGTCAGTCCAAAAGTCTAGCTCTATATCTGTAGCAACTCTGACTGACGAGAGCAAGCAGGGTGATAATGTTGTTTCTGAAGAGAGGTGGAAGCCAACTTTGAATCTCAAAGTTTCTGTTTCTCAGACTAGAATGGAGTACTCAAATGATCCTAGTATTCCAACAACATTTGACGACCCCCAGATAATTCCGTCCCTCGGAATTAGCCCAGAGGCTGCAGGAGTTCCAGCGCCAACACTGTAAGTGTCCTCCAATTTTACCATCTGTTCCCTCTAACCCCACAAACCTCTCTCATCTAATTTCTATTTGATTCAGTGGTGTGTCTACAAATTATGTTCCTTTCAACAGCATTACTCAGCTCGAGGAAGCAGTCCCTACCGGCGGGTCACTTGTTATAACAGCACAATCCGCGAGCCAAGATAAGCCGCCCAGGGAAATAAAGACAGGCATTTGGCTTGCATCCGTGTACCCTGGTTCGAGCGATGTCACTAACCAGCAAACCTATGATGTTCCTCTTTTCATAGTCATCAACAGCCGAACCCGGCTTCTTTCGTGCGGCAGCAAGCAGGCCGGCCGTGGCTTGAGTGCTCCTACGGAGCTGAAGCTTGAACCATGGCTGAAAAAGGACGAGCCGAGCATTAGGGTGGATATTGGGGGAAACGATTTTATAGTTTATGTTGATGGAATGAGAGTTCTGGCAGTGGAGCGGGCCATCAAAAGTGGAAACATAACGCACGTCAGATACGTGGCCTCCCCCGAGGGCAAGGACCCAGTGTTTGCAAAAGCGCTCACGGTGACGACATACAAGCAAGCTGACATGGTTCCGTGACTCCGTGAGCCTAATTAATAGTTTGCTCCTCGCGGAATGGGGATTCCTACTTTGCATGCCACAGTACTTAGCTTCTCCAGTCGATTTAAGCATCGAAACGTCATCATTTGCAATCAAACTATGAGATGCATATCCGTCGAGAGTAACGTATCTTAACGAGTGGTTCAATCTATCTCCTACTAAACTAGCTTGCATAACATGGACTTGTTTTTAAAGCCACAAAAAACTCAAGAGGGGTTCTTTGCAACAAGTGCATGAACTACATGCATAACGACCTGTTGCTCTCATTTAATGTCTAAATGTCGAATCCTTGAATTTTCTCATCATCAGTAAAGGAAGAAGCTGACTCCGTTGGCTGCATATACACATCCGTAATATCCTTGAGGATTGCAAGGCTTCCGTTTGCACGGCGGTACACATGAGTACTTGCTAGTACACCGGCACCCTTGAGGTGATAGCTAACTGTCCATTCCACGGGCCGTACGTGGCTCCACAAGGGCTCAACGACGCACAAGGTGGCTTGAGAATCTCTCTTTGCATTTCCCTAATGCATGGATATTGGGCAGAGGGGCTGAGGTGAAAGGGCCTGGGGCCCTTGTATCAGCAATGTATTCCAATTCTGTCCGAATCGTTGCTATCGCCATTGGACGCTCCTACGTTGGTTCCATCACCTCGGCCTATATAAAAATCCCTCGTAACTGGTTGATTCGTTGCTTCTCAAATCATCCTGCATGGGATTATTTTACCAAACCCCTCGGCAAATATCCAGGATATAGCTGATACAGGGTGGGTTGCTAAGCAAAATTGATCTTAAACTTTTAGTTCCATTTGAAGTTAGAACGACGATTGCCAGCAAATAGCTAACTAAAGAAGTTCATAGGATCATCAAACAATATCTCAGAGTTCCAGTGCTTGGTCTTCTCGCAGAATTGTGTCTCGTCTGTACCCTCCTCATTGCTCAGTCAAGCCCGACCACGCCGAGATTTCCCCCAGTGCTGCGAAACCTCGATTGCTGCTCTTCTGCGGGTTTAGGGTTGATGTCGCTCTTTTGGGTAGTGGCGAAAATTTTGAGCACCATTCTTGTGATTGCGGCGTTGTCAATCACAGTAAGGACGAAAATCAGAAATGCCGTTACGAGGTTGACGCTGGCAGCCCGTAGCTTTCTTCGTTTGGTGGTAGAGATCATAGCATCGTCGATTTCACTGTTGGAAGCTGCCGCTGCGAGTTTCTCAGACCGAGCTGTTGTTCCTTTCGCTTCTACTAGTAGCTGGATCACCTCTGGATCTTTGAGGTTCAACAACTCGTTCTCAAGAGGTTTCGAACCTCCGTCAAGCTCAGGATGAGAGGATCTAGCATTGGCCCCGCGCCGGAGCAAGAGTTCGACAATTTCGGCTCTATGAGGGCCATGTCCCTGCGTGGTAACGATCCACAAGGGGGTTCTATTTTGGCTTGAGGCGGCATCGACCTGGGCGCCGTGGTCGAGGAGGAGTCGGACGACTTCAATATGTCCGTTCTTTGCTGCTAAAGCAAGTGCGGTCAGGCCGATGGTTCCCTTTCCCTTTTCTTTGCACTGCTCATTGATATCAGCTTTGTGGAGGTAGCATGCCAGTGTCGTGCTTGTAAGCGCTCCTGCGGCGGCATCGGCGTGGAGAGTCATTTTCCCAGTGTTTTTACTAGTATGATAATTGAGGTTTCGTTCCATGAATTTGGGTATGCTTTAAAGGAGCGCTACATTACCGATATAAACCCCACGAGCATTAACCACCTTGACCTTTCGAATGAACATAGATGAGGTGTTTTTACCGGACTCAACGGGAAGCTGGCTTCCACATTCCATACTCCGCCTCAACTTGATATCACCCCAATATTCCGGAACCCCACCCCTTCAAGTTGGGCATGAATTGCTCGGGTATGTGGCATTACAATCATGTAGGTCTGCCTGCATGCAGAAACATTAGATTGGGCATTCGTACGTGATCGGACCTTCGATCGCGGAAGATGGACAGGAATAATCCCTGGCGATAATGTCGGCAGCGCCAAGATCTAGGGGGTGTTTGACGCCCAATATTCTGCATATGGTGATGGTTCTCATGTTAGATTGGCCCACAGCCTGAGTTTGCCAAAAAACATTTCGATTTCGGCCTTGGGGGATCTTGCTGGGAGTTAGCATTCGCTAATCCAGCCCTGGTCCATAGAATTTCATGTCTTCGATGCTCTGACGAGACAATGATTTCCACAACCAGCGATACGAACAAAAAAGAGACGCAAGGCTTGCATGAAGACTAAGGTAATGCTCGTACTCATAAATCTATTTCATTGTAATGTAATTTCGCACTCTGCCCTGCCTACGCTAATGCTAATGCTCCGCAGTCTCTAGGACTTTGCAGGCTGTGGCTCCCAGCGCGGAAAATCAACTACCACTATTAGGAAATAGCTCTAATGTAACGTTGCCTGCAAAGTCACTACTAAGATTCCTTTATTCGGCATTCAAGGTCTGCACCGGAGAGAGCAACATGGAGAGTAACTACGAAAATATTAGTATCAAAACCCGTCAATATCTATTCTAAGGGGGTAGTTGGGTGTGCTCACCCAATCTTCTAGTTCAGCTTCGTTCTTTCTGAGCTCATCGTATCTCGCATCGAGGAGTTCTAATTTATGTAAGCGATGTTTGAGCCTGGGCTGGCATGTGAAACTAGGTGGAAAGTAAAAAAGCAAAAAAGGTTGGAGATACTCACCGGATGTTCTGTAAAGCACCTGCAAAACTTCATCATCCATATCCAGTTTGTTCATAAAGTCTTTTGCTTCGTCATCCGTTCCGATTTGGCTGAGGCAGAATCGGACCGCTGCATGAATATCAGTGGCGGGTTCATATTGAATGTGCCAGAAAAGCAGGGATGGAATGTTCAAGTACCATCTTTCCTGTAACCCTTTGTCCCAAGGAATTGGCTGCACTCTAGTATCTCGTTGCGTAGTTGATCTTGACTTTCACCAGATGGGAATCCGTCGGTGATGATCATGACTAGATAGGGGCGTTCCAGCTGCCCACCAGAACTTAGGGGCGCATAAACAAGCGGATTAAGAATTCGCTCCCTGAGCCTGGTCCCAAGTGGTGTATACCCATTTGGTCTAAAGTTGAGTGTCTGCAATACCGCATTTCCATCGAGATTGTCGGCGTTATATAGGGTTGTATTGATCAAGCGAAAATAAATACCTCTATTGTTTGGGTCCGCCCGCGTTGCAATATCGGTGATGCGTTTGGCGAGTTCCGCTTGTTTGCACCAGCGATCTTCTTCATTCATGGAGTAGCTGTCATCTGGTGTATTTGTTATTTTTGGTTTCGTGTTCTACTCTCCCATTATGATGGATTGAAAAATTAATACCTACCACAATAGAGAATGGGTTTGTAAAGAGCCACAGTAGCAAGACCCTGTAGCTGACTGGGTGACTTCAACCAATTGTTCGGATCGTTCTTAAGAGCAGCGGCTTTTTCGGCTACTTCATTGACGTATGTATTTCCAGGGGGGAAAAATCTCCCAAGGCCGTCGTTATTGACTACTTTGTTCAGACTATTTTTGAAGTCCTCCACTGTTTCAGGTTGTTCCTCGTCAAGCTCCTCCTGTGAGAAATATCTCAACGTTAGCTGCCAAACGGTGGAGTCTTGTTGACGCCACTGTCCATCTTACCTCAGGGTAGTAGCTGCCTGGGGAAGCGATACCGAGGAAATATCGGGAAGCAGACTTGAATATGGATCCGAAGGCCCTCCAGGCTTTGGACTTGGCGAGTACGCCGACCACCCACTTGGTCATATAGCTCCGAAGACCACCTTTGCCTCCGCCTTTTCGTAGCGGTGGCTCAAAGGCATCTTTGATTTGTTTCTTGATTTCCGGGTTCAAAACCGTATCTGCTAGATCGCGTGCGGTTTTACCGTTATCGTCCCGCGCATCCAGTGACGCCCCCGCGTTGATGAGTAACTTAACAATTTCTGGATTCGATGTCTTAGCAATGGCAGCCATCAAGGGGGTTTGGTTCCCACGTGAGGGAATAGGTTTGTCGAAGGTCGTCGGCTTTTTCTCAAGAAGCAGCTGGACCATGCGAGGACTGGCAGGCTTCGCTATCGCAGCGAGATACATTGGTGTCCTACCGTCCCGAAAGTTCATTGTTTCCCCCATCGGCTTATCTGGGTCGGCGCCGTGGGCCAGGAGGAGCTTTACCACGGATGCCTTCCTGTTCTCCAAGGCATATCCCAGCGGAGTCATACCTGATCCATCTTCACGATCCCGAAGAGAAGAGTCCTCACCCAGTATATCCAGCAGCCTCCCTTCCTTCAGTTTCCCGCTTTGAGCAGCCGTCCAGATCGACATTTTTCGTAGCGTTCTATTTGTCCTCTGAGAGAGGCAAGGGCAGTGGGAAGGTCGTCCCGGTGATTTATCCAACCGTCCTGGTGACTATGAAGGGGTTCGGTAAAGGAACAGAATATGTCTCGTCGTTAAATATGCAATTTTGTATTATTGATCCAAGACCAAACGTTCTGGACACGGCAGATTCGGGGCAACAATTATCAGATTTCTGAACTTCTTCGGTTAGGTAGCGAACCATAGCAACCAGGATTCATTGCCATGCGACAATCGTGCATCACCACTAAAAGCTATTTGGAGGTCTGTAGTATCCTGAATGACGTCCTCTTACTTAGAAATCCTGTCCGACGAATGAGCGTTTGACAAGTAACAATGCATTGAATAAAGAGCAATTTCAGTCTTGGTGAAGAATCTCGACCAGAAAATACCTGCAGGCCGTGATTCATTCACGCTATTCTGTGGGCAAGTATTCCAGGCGGCCCAAAATCCATGAAAAATATTGCATGTAACTCACTCCGGTGGATACGCGGGGATGAATAAGGTAGAGTGATCGAGTGGTTCTCGCAAAGCTGGCCAAGGCGAAACTAAGCATAGCCTAAAATTTGCTTTAAAATTGAAAAGGCTGTGGTGTTCAGGCCTAAAGTATTTCCTTCCCCCATCTCCTTTTTGATTCTTAGTGGAGGATATTCCCTGCGGGCTTTCGTATACCTGCTAGAATGATAAATTTTTAAATCCAGTGACTAGGTTGGAGCACTTGCAGCTAGCTGGGGTTAGAGTGGTGGGAGGAGAGAGCCCTCAGTGTGTTATCAAAACATTGAAATTCACGGAAACGTATATTATACTGCCAATTGGGCTCCATGAGCGGAGATGTGATTGCCAAAATACACAAAAGTTTCAGAGTGTGTCATCACGTCCAACTGCTCGTGCCAAAGTATTCAATGTATCGCTTTGACCTCCCGCATACCTAGCAAAAATATGTCTACCAACTATGCAGCTTTCCTTGCTGGACACAAGAAGAAGCCCCTTTCTGTGCGTGAAGCCGAGGATAGGTATGCGGACGAAAATGAGATCGTGATCAAGAATGCCGCAGTTGCCATGAACCAGCTCGACTGGAAAATGCAGGACACTCCATGGGCTATGTTCAAGTACCCATTGATTCTGGGTGTGGATGTCGCCGGGGAAGTAGTCGAAGTGGGTAGCGATGTCACTCGATTCAGCATTGGCGATCGCGTCCTCGGTCACGCCCTGAGCTTTATAACGGAGGACGAAAGGCACGGGGGATTCCAAAATTATACCGTTCTCTTTTCGAACATGGCATCGCCTATTCCGCCATCCCTACCATTTGAAAGTGCAGCTGTGCTTCCTTTAGGAGTGTCGACTGCATCGGCCGCATTATTTCACGAGGACGGCTTAGCCCTCCCCAAGCCCAGTTTGAATCCGACAAAGACGTCTACAACCGTTCTAATTTGGGGTGGAACGAGTAGTGTCGGCAGCAACGCTATCCAGCTAGCAGTCGCTGCTGGGTGCGATGTCATTGTGACGGCATCGCCCAGAAACTTCGCTGCCGCGAAACGACTGGGTGCAGATCATGTAGTAGACTATAATGACGCATCCGTGATCGACAAGTTAAAGGAGGCGTTTCGAGGCAAGAAACTTGCTGGTGCCTTGGATGCGATTGGAACAGAAAAGACGTTCAAGCAGACTTCAGAGGCAGTCTCTCAGGTTGATGGGGTTAAAACCGTCACCTCGACGATCGATGATCTCGAAGATGCGTGGGTGCCTCCAGGTGTGACAGGAAAGGCCATCCTAGCAGTAAGCATCCGGGGGCTAGAGGGTGAGGATATGGACAAGAATGTAGGAAAGATGGTATATGAAGATTTCTTGCCGGATGCCCTTAAGGCGGGGAGGTACAGCATAGCACCAGATCCACTAGTCGCCGGAAAAGGGCTTGGAGCTATTCAGGACGCCCTCGAAACCTCAAAGCGTACACTGGGGAAGAAGGTGGTTGTAAGCATTTAGAGGATTTTTCGCGCTGAGCTGAGAATAACTTGGAATGAAAATAGTTTCTAATTCCCAAGAGAACGACCCTTCGAATAGAAAATTGTTTAGATGCTGTGAACAGGCCGAGCGCGAGAGACATGTAACGGTGCTATCGCGTAGATATATGTAAGATCGGGTAGCAAGTCATTTCCAACATAATGTTAGAAACAAAGCGCCATTACCCTGAAGGGTGATTTCAGAGCAGGCGCAGAACTGGACGTAAACATAATGCTTTTTATGAGGGTTTGGAAACAGTATACTTCGTACAGACGTCCTGTATAGCATGATGAATATTCATATGTTCTACCCAGTGGGGTTGGTGCCGTTCCAGCTCTTGACGCATATGATAACAGACAAATCAATCTGTTCCATTCTGATGTACATATGCGTCATTCTGATAGTTGCTCAGATCGAGTCTGTCTGACGTTCCTCGAGCCCTTTGCGATTCGAGCCGGTGTGCTTGGATGCACCGCTCACAGAGAAAAATAACGACTGATGCCGCATAAAAGAAAACGCAAGTTAAACCAGCAAACAGACTCACGGGGACAGGCCGCGGACGAGAACAGATATATGGAGCGTCACGTCACATATAGAGATCCTTGGATATATTGCTCACGGATTAGAACAAAGTACGGAACTTTGCCGCCTCCTCAAACGCCCACTAATCCTGGACTGGAATAGTGCAAAACCTAATCTTCACAGCCCTGCTTAAATAAGCAAGTTTAAATGCTTCTAGATTATTTCCGGATTCGGCCATGCCTGGAACCTCAAGAACCTTCATCGATTCCGTCTTTGATAACTGTCGTCCAGCTTCAACTCTCGTTCCTTGTCGTTCTCTTCAACGCCAGTCTCAATTCTCTTGTCTGTTGTTTCTAGCTCCTGCACCCAGTACAGCCATGCTCCTGGACTCTGGGCAGCCTAGACTCTACGTCTAATAGCTATCATCATCCCGCCCTTTTGGCCGTGTCCGCCTAGACCCACCCACCCATCTTCCTATATTTAATATCGCCGCATTCCGTCCCAACACGGTTTCTCGCCTCCTGTAGCCGCCCATGACTCCACGAGCCCACTGCCTTATCCAATCGTGGGAAATAAAAAGGACCCGTAACCGCTCCGAGGCGCTGAGGCAATTTATTTTAGTTCTCCTATATAAAGCCTTCAACCCCAGTCTTTCCCTTTAAACCTAAACTACGGCCCTGAAAGGTTGACCTCCCCCCCCGTATCATTCGTGCGAGTATATAACTATCGCAGCCATTTCATATCCCCCTACAGCTATGTTCGAAGACTTTTCATTCTCCTCCCCTCGAAGGAAAAATCGGGACTCGTTGATACCTAGTTACGATGAAGACATGGTGATTGCCTGCGAGGACCACCTGATCTCGCCTTTTTCATCTCGTTCTCCCTCACCCGTTCCGCGTTGTCGAAACTCGAAAGACCATCCTCTACTTCCTAGACATTCACGTCAGCCTTTCCAACTTGGGCCTGCTCCTACATCGATTCCATATAATTATGGCGACAGGCATGGACTTTCGATCCGCACTTTAACAAAGAAACTGAATGCTCAGACCTTGGATAATGATGCAAACAGTGATAGTGATGTAGGACCAGCTCTTCCAATTACGCCTCCTCGTAGTGCTCATACCGATGTGCCCGCAATTTGGTTGGAAAGTGAACCTTTAAGTCCACCATACCGGGAACATGATGATAATTCGTCTTGGACTGGGCCGTCACCTACTTCAACACCGAGGTTTATTGAGTCCCGCCGTACCTCGCATTCTGAAGCGGACAACTTACCATATGCTCACTACGCGTCTATCACGACTCAAGATAAGGAGCAATTTTCTTCTCTCCGCCAGCATCGAGAAAACCTCTCCCTTCTACAATGTACCGCAAAAACAGTAGCGGAAACCGTTAGAATCGCACTTCTACTTGAAGAGAGTGATCGATTATCCTTCGACGAAATCGATGAAGACAGGCATCCGAGTTCGCTCTCCCATCTCCCAGCTTCTCGAAATCCCACCTCCCTTATCAATAACCACAGCCGAAATCCCACACGCCGTTCCTCCACATCCACAGAGCCTGCATTGAAATCTAAACTCTCAATTAGCAACACCTACAGAGTTGATAAATCGCGCCATTCTCCACGGAACTCTAGTCATACCAGTGATTTCCGCATAATAGAGAAATCATCGCGGGGGTTGCGACGGAGGAGTTTGGTGCTAGCTGCCGTTACTGCAATGGTACAGGCAGAGGCTTTAGAGAAGGGGCAAAGGGATCGGGAACTTCGAGATATTCAAAGGGAAAGCTCGCGAGCCGTGAGTTCCGATTTCCTGCATTCTCTTAGCGGAAGATTAAAAGATTCCACAACTGCAAATTCCTCTTGAGAATTTGATCAGATACAAATGGAAAGAACAGGACACGGGGCAGTTGGAGACACTGATATCTTGCTACATGATGATTTTACGCTCCGGGCATATCAATCAGGATAATGCACTCGTATCGATTCACAACCAGCCAGACGGCCCACTCTTTGATATTTTTCCTTTTGTCTCATATTTCCTCCCCGTCCCATCCTCCAATATCACCCACCTACTGGTCCATTACCACTTCTTTTCTTTGTATAATCTCCTTGTTACTTTTCTGTTTTTGCTTCCACTTTTATTTTCGTCGTCTTCATTCTTGGCTTGTTATATACCCCCCACAGTCAGTTTATTATCCTACTTTTTTGACAATTTCCATGTGTGCAAACACCGCCATATCAGAATTTGATATACCTATTTAAAATACTGTCTTTCATTAAACTGGTCTAGGTTAGACTAACAGGCGCCACACTAAGCTGTTGATAGGCGAGTATGGCAGTTGCTGAGGATTTTGATATTAGTGTCTTCGCAGATTACAAACGGCGTTTCCTTTCTGTCAACTGGAGGCTTCTAGGTAATTACTCTTGTTTTTGAAATAGCTACTATACTTTATCGGTGAGGAAAGGCTACACGACATGTCATCGGCGGTTTTCCTTTTCCTTTTTTTCCCCTTTCTTATTTGTGGTACAAGCGTCTTGCCTCTCTCTTAGTACATTTATATTTCCTTTATTTCTTCTGTACTTTCCGTTCTCCTGGTAATTATAGCAACATGCCTAAGCGCCTAAGTCTTGAGGAAAATTCTTGCTGAAAATTTAATATCCAACTCATCTTTCCTCTGGGGATTACAGACGTTCAGGCAAAACCCAGCGAATATACCACAGTAAACAATAATAATCAGGCACAGCAAAACCCTTTTAAGTCACATCATGAAAACAGGTATTGAAATGATTTGCTTTCTCCGCTAACGACTGATTTGCTAAATTATATCCATACATAGCTCATTTCTCTTAGAAATAACAAACGGAAAACCAACCAACAAGTCTCACCTAACTGTGTAAACTCTAAAAAGAAGAAATAAAACGCGAGAAGAAGCATCTAGAAGCTTTGTACATACATACCATACCATATAAAATGGTAAGGGAAAAAGTGGTACTAAAAGCCTCGACTGGGTATATGAGAGCACGTAGAAAGTATATTAGGAAATCTGAAGAAAAGTGGAGAAGATAATAAGATCGTAGCGAAGTGGGTTCAAAACATGATCTTAGTGAAAGAGCCCGTCAAAAGGAGAGCAAATGTGCAAATTTTATGCGATATTCGATGAGGAATTGCATGCCCAATGGAGAGAAAAAGGGTTGTAGAAAAGAAGATATGAGAAGCATTTACGAAAGATACGAGTTGAACTCTATAGAACAGAACAGGTAATTAGGCTGAGTGGAAACATGTACACGTATCAAAGGTTAGTTTAACACGGGAGGCCCCGGATCGCGTTTTAAGCACGGGAGGGTTTGAACAGTATAGATAAAGGGATTTTGTATCTGAAAAGGGAGAAGGCTGGCATGCTAGTAGTAGTTAATCGCCTGAGGTGTCCTACTGGGAAATTTATTAGCACCATTCGTGGGGCTAAAATACGGAAAATACAATAGGTACACATGTTCCAGGGCAGATGTGACCAACCTTTTCAGAGTCTTGATTAATTATCTTTCGACGCCAGGAAAGCTGTCGCTGTAACAAAGGCAATAATAACCAACACCAGGAAAACTGCCCCGAACACCTGGCGTGCAAAGCGAATCTCTTTCTCATGAAACTGCTCCACTTCTCCTCCTGACCTCCATTTTATCAACCAGTTCGCCCCTTGCCCAATCAGGGCGATGTAGCCCAGCAATAACCATCCCGGGGGTAGCATAATCGAAGAAGCAATGATGAGCTCCCGACCAACGCGCCGCTGGAGGGCAAAATTGGTCTCTGAAGCTACCGTAGTAGTCGCGGCCCGTTGTCTAAATTTGGCTGATGTCTTAAAGAGGCGAGGCGGGGTGGAAAAAGCGTAGCGTCCGTTTTCTGAGCAGTACCACTGGCCAACTTCGAGCTCTTCGTTGACATTGAACGGTCTGCTTGCGACGGTATGGGAACGGTGAGGTATTGCACTCCTCTCAGAGAGTGGACGCGACGAAAGGTCTCTTCTGCTCCGTCGGGTATTTGTAGTTACGATGGGGTCATCCAATTGTCGAATACGCTCTCGAATGAGGTCGTCGCGGGATGATGCCTTCATGCGTATTTTGGTGGTTTCATTGCCGTTGTTCTGTACAGGCGGCCAGTGTAGTCTGGGGATTGCGGGACGCTGGCCTTGCTGGTGCCTAGCTTCAGATACCAGTGATGGACGTTTGTGGGAGGTCCCAGTGTCATTGCCTTCAATGACCACAATACCATCGCCAGAAAGCCTATTGCGAAAACGAGGGGGAGAGGGATTCGACTGGGGATAAGGAATGAGCTGCTCAGTGGAGGAGTATGTAGGCGCGAGATGAACTCTCTCGGGCATCTGAAGGACGTCTCCTCTTTGCGTGCTGCCATCAGGGGAATAATCGCGAGGCACGGAGCGAATGCTTGTGGTTAGAGACAGGGAATTCTGACTATTGCAGTTATTAGTTGCTAGGTTCTCCGTTACGAACAAGCTCATTCTAGGGTATTTGTGGGAAAAGGGCCTTTTGTGGCGACCATTAAAATTATTGAAAGGGGATGGGAGGATACTAGTAGTGTTGCTGGCTGTGTTGTGCTCTCTAGCTGAAAAGGGGCTGTGTTTGTTTCGTATGCGGGAATGGGACGAGGCGTCTCGATTGAGAACGGGCATGGATATGTCCTGGCAGGACGATATGGTACACCAGTCTGACGAAACAGTGGCAGGTGGGCCAGAGGACTCAGTCACGGAATTCTGGCGGTATTGCGCGTCGCGGGACGTTGGTTCGTGTTGATGTAAATGTTGATAATGTGGCGGTTGGTGTTGTTGAAGAGGGTGCTGATGACACGAGAAATCAAAGAAATCAGACTTACAACTTGGGTTAACAGGACCAGGGCCAAATCGGGATGACTGATACAGGCTTTGTTTTCTTAATCGCGTCTTCCATTTGTCGAGGACCGGCGGCGGACTTTTGAAGGGATGAACGTGCGGTTTGTTCAGGGGTGTAGGGTGTTGATACTGTGAGGTGGAGGGAAGTGGTGCCGGGTACACTTCAGTTGAAGCCTTGAGCACTGGCACAGGCTTTGCCACAGAGTTCAAGCTATCAAAAGATTTACCTGGGTATTGATAATCTGGGAGCAGGATGCTAGTTCCAGTATTTGGGTTTTGATGGAGCTTATGCTTGTGAGAGAGGCCTCTTTGACCTGGATGGACCATCACTAGGTTGCCAGGACAGCTAGGGAAATGTTGATGTCCCCCAGGTAATGGCAACGATGTCCAAGGTTGTGCTTCTGCATTTGCAAGGCTTCCACAACTGGAAAAATTAGCTAAACTACTACCTGTGTCCACCCTTGAGAAATCACTTCTAAACTGATGGCTTCCTGTGACCGTTTGCCAATCCTGTGCATCTACCCGCTCACTACACCAACCATCCTCCAGCCCAGTGTTACTTTCAAGGGCACTGCATGTTTTCAACTGATCAGCAAACTGTTCAGGTTCCTTAAAGGACGAGTTCGTAGAAACGGTTTGTGGCTTTAATCCATTTCCCTTTGGGCGAGATGAAAATGTAGACGGTAGTTTAAGACGGGATCTTAGCGTTGAGAACGTTCCCAACCGACTCAACTGAGGACTTGACACTGTCTGACTGCTCCCTGGGCCCATATCTTCGTAATCGTCAACGAGAAAATCATGATCTGCAATCCCAGATACGGAACTAGATTGAAGTGTACCAGGATCCCCTCCCACAGTTAGAATTGGTTCGGAAACGTCTATTGAAGAATTTTGGGAATAAAAATTATGCGGCTCGTCCGGGATAGTGTTTATTGGGTGGGAATCTAGGGGACGACGGTTCTGGTAACTAGTAGCATAGGATATAGGAAATACTGGCGCGTCTGCGCCTGTCTGGCGGGATTCCGGGGGATGGATGGGCTTCGAAAAATTAGGGCTTAATGTTGAACTCCATTGATATCGAGATCGAACGTTCTTATAGGGAACCTCAGCGGACAGACATGAGTCAATCAGATACGCGCCATCCGTCCGGGCACTATCCGCTAGGGTCTGGGTATATAACTCTGGAGGAGGTTCATCGATCGACGAGTACACAGAAGACTGTGGTCGCGCATATTGGACTTTTAAGAGGCTTTTAGCAGGAGATGGTTTGGGGCGTGGCGTAGCGGAGACAAGATTTTGTTCAATAAGGGTTTCGACGTCTGCCGATAGGCGTTCCAATGGGCTTGACACACTGCGACGATAGTTTGAAGCTGTTTTCGTGCTCGGTTTGCCACCTCTACTTTTCCTACCATCTTCGCACGTATTTCGTTTTTCAACCCGAAAACGGGTCGTATGGGGAATCAATTGACGGGATACGAAGCTGGAGATTAGGGTGGACGCGCCGCCAGTGCGAAGTTTCTTCCACTGGAAGGCTTGTTTCGGATCAGGGGGGCGAGGTTTTGTGAGCGTGGAGGGATGCCTCTTGATGACTTCGCCACGCGGTTGCCTGTCGGTTTGCAAGGTTTTACTCGTAAAATAACTTGATAGCTGACCAAGCGAAGCGCCGCTCAGGATCAAATTTGCGAATGTAGTTTTTGGATTCTCGGTGGCATCTTGTGCAGGCAGCGATGGCGCCTTGAGCTGCAGGGGAGATTGAACCTCCAGAGCTTGTTCAAGGACCTCATTTTCTACCTATGTCAGAGCAGATTCGAATATGTTAGAAAGGGCAAAGCGCTGAGGTGAAATCCTCACCGGAATAGGACGCGAAGGGATCAGGAGAATTTGGCGGGAGAGTGACATGGGCCTCCTCAGTACCCGTGTCCAAGGACAGCTCCATATCCAGATCACCTGTGGAGTGATCAATGTATGGAAACAGTGGAAATAGATTGCTTCTCTGGTTTACTATGCGCGAAGTAATAGATGAATGTGCTGTTAGAAGATCTTCGAACAAAGCCCGTGGAGGCGTGGGTCGACGCTCCTCGCTCCCCGATCTTGATCGATTTCCGTATTTCAAGGGCGTTTGTTGTCCCTGAGAAGCCTCACTGACTGAAGGGCTTTGGTCGAGAAACTGAGAAGACATCGGGTCGAAAGAGGGGGCTGGGATACTTCGCTTTAACAAATGAAAGGACTTGGGAGTTATATGTTCAGGCGAGAAAGATACAGGTAAGCCAGGTGATTTTGGCGGGTTGAGTATCTCAAATGAAACGCCCCTATGACGAAGCCTTGTCCTTGAGTGATTTGGGTAGAAGGACAGAGCAGAATCTGAAGAGCTTCTGTGGTGAGAAATGAATCTGGCGGGAATCTGCTTGAGGCTATATTTGAACACATTCTGGCGCGTTTCATTAGTCCCCGCGTCCAATTTCTGCGTAAAAAGCGCAACATGAAATGAAAAAACAATAAGATTACTGGGGACAAAAAGTACCACAAAGGTGACTGATGCATTAAAGTCTCATAAAATAAACACTCACCAACTTCTTCATTCCAGGGCTTGCGCTCGTAACGCTAGTTGCAGGAGTGTAAGGTGGAGGTGGAGGAAAGGACTGCAGCAGAGTCTCCAGTTGTTGAGATGGAGTTTTAGGGGCAGCAGTGAATGCAGTGGTGGTGCGTGGCAAGGAGACAGCGTCTGCTAAAGGGTGGCTGGGACTATTTTCATGAACCCTCGCCTCTTCATGATCAATCGCCGCCTCTGCTAATGGCTGCCAGGACTGCAACGCCTCTACTGAGCCTCCGTTAGAAATTTGAGATGCTGATATCGGGGTTGCAGGCGGCGATGGCGGCGCTCGAGGAGGTCGAAAAACGGTGAGGTTCAAGGTTTTAGGCTTCCTTCTCAATGTTCTTCGCGGGCCGGGGGCAGATTGCTCATCCAGTTGCGGGCGCGAGAGAGTCTTACGATACTCATGTAGGGAGAGCCTACCGGAAACCTGTCCGCTAGAAATGGTGCGCAGAGAAACAAGGACAGTCGGTGCAGGACTGACCGGAGGAGATGCAGGTCGTGAAATGGGAGCGGAACAGGTACGACGAATGGGAACGGGCGAGAAAAGAGGGAGCGGGACAGGAACGTCTGAGTATGAATGATATTCGTCAACACTCACACAACTAGAGGTGAGATCTACACTTCCAAGGCCCATATTCCCGTACAGTTAACCGCAACACCTAAACGCCGGATGAGGGTACGCGATCCTAAAGCACAAATTGGATCCTTCTTGCTAACGTGGTTATATAAAAGTGCAGCAATATGGCAAGCTCTAATGAGAAGTTAGGCCTGAGGAGCCTCGTCGAGATATCCAAACCAGGCTGGACCATCCAGTCACCAATTCAAATTGGAAAGGTAAAATCCCAAATCCGGCCCGTTGACTCCTAGATTAAATGTCATCATCAACAAAACTCGCAATTGGTATCATAATCATTCATGGCCCAGTGAGCTCGATGCGAGTGGTTGCGGGGTTGTGGACAGTGAGGTGTCTTACCAGTGGTGCGTTGTCACTGAGCTATCAGAAACCAGTCTTGAATCTTCTACTTTCCTGTGTCGGCCTCTAATACGAACCTTTTAGGTATGACAGTGCGATGCACGATGTCTGATATTACATTAGAATACCAGTCAGAAAAACTGAACAAGGGCAAGTATTTACCTCCTTACCTCCGGAAGGGAAGGGAAAAGCCTTTAAGACGTTGACACAGGTTGTAAACGACGGTGAGGCATAGCAAGAGCCAGCTGTTGCTATACTCAAATTCTGTTCAATTCCACCAGGGAAAATGCGATAATAAATAATATATATCGACGAGACAACATGAGCTTCATCCCTTCAAAATGAAGAAGGACAAAATGAAGGCGTCGTCAACTTTCATATGAAAGGAAACAAAATTGAAGCAAACAGAAATATTGAAGAATCAAAAAATAAAAAAAAAGCTCTTGCAAGTGATAGCCAATACGGTAGCAGGGAGCAAGGAGCTGTGTTTACGGACTGCCGTCATCCTGTCCACACACCTCTCCGCATTGCCTGACCACTTGCTCAAAAAATCACATTAGTTACCTTTTAGTGGTGGGGTGGTGCGACGCAGCCCAACGTGCAGGCCATGGACTTGCCGGGTACACATCCGCGATGTAAACGGGCTCGAATAATGAATCGGTGAAAGGATGGATTCCTTTCGCCTCAGACAACACTCCGGATGGGGGTTGAATCAGTCCTGACGAAAAAGGTGTGGCACGCCGCTAGCCAATGAGGAGTGTGAACGCGACATTTCTGACGCTGGCCTGCCCAGCCCCCAGCAATCGCCCTTCCGCCAGTCGCTGTTCAGAACTTGGATGTTGTTCACGAAACGGACCTCCATAAAGTGCCGGCTGGCGATTGACAGCCTGGTACTGGATGTCCAGCAAGGCCAGACGTGGCGTTCCTCTCTGATATCATCGTGGGATATTCAGACCCAATAGAGCCCTCCTCTGCAAGGAACCCGTAGAAGCGGCCGATGCTTCTGGGACTGTGAGATGGCGTGTGAGTATGGGAGAGCCATGTCTGGTACCAGTGGAGTGTGGAACGCAGCCAGTTGGCCGTCACTAAAATTGCTTGTGGAATATTTAGCTCACGCGGCTCTTTTTGCTCGCCCGTTGAAGTGTGATTGATGCTTTGCAATCAAGCCGGATGGCACTATTTCGTGCATGGGATCAATGATTTCCCTAGTCAACAGTTATTTTTGGGAAGATACGACGGACATCCTGAAATTCCTTATAACTACTAAATATAGCTGGGATTTTCGGTGATTTTCTCTCTCGTTCGGGATGACTCTCTCCTTTACGCCTGTTGCGAAAGCCCTAATTTGATCACATGACCTCATCGACACAAGTGCAAAAATTGTATATCACTCTCATATTCACAAAATAATATGAAATTTTATTCTATGAGGTCAAAAGGAAGGAAGAAGGAAATCTTCATCCCTGGGAACCAATGGGCATGTTGCTGGACCCTGTGGTAGTTTGAACCAACCACGCTCGGGACCAAGTCGGGGCTTTTCTGCAGGACGCCGTACAATGCCTACGTATTGTCCTAGATGAAAGAGAAGGGGGGTTACGTTCATGCATCTCCCGTTAACTTTCACATGTCATCCCTCTCATGGGTATTTCATGGAATTAAGGCCAATGGTGTGATAGACTCGTAAAGGCTGGATCAACGGCTTGAAGGAAACAATTATTTTCTTCCGTATCTGTTTGGCAACTTCGCCACGGATATTATCCTGTTCGTGGGAGTTAATTGCATATCCCGCTTCATGGGAAACTATGTGGTAGTAACTTACTGACCTGCAAAGTCGAAGATGATGTAGGTGTGGACCTCCAGAATTTATTCTTAACAAACGCTTTGCATCAACGCGTGAGAAATTGCTGCAAACTTTTGCTTGTGACAGTATTGAAGACATTTCGAAATGTACAAGATACAATTTCGGGAATGGCTACTTTTAGGTGATAGAGCATGGCGATTCCGGCATGTATGTCACAGACACCTGTGTGGAGAGTTCGTGATACCAGCACATGTTTTCCAATGGTACTGACACATGCAACACAGAGTTTTGAAACAAAGTGAACAAAGTTCTTATCAAATCTACGATCTCCATTGCTGGCTGCTTTCTAGTTGAGTTGATTTTCGAATGTGTCGAGACATTCTAACAGCAAATGCGTTGGGTGTGGTTCGACATGTGGCTTGGTGCATGCAACTTGCATGAGGCGGTGCACATTGTCCTCTGCAAGAAAAAACATCCCATGACAAGGCGCTTAGACCAATAATATCAACTTTCAGTGGCTAGTAGTGTGTCAGCTCGGTTTCGCTCCAGTTAGCCCTACTGAGCTGAGGGCTTGCCTGACTGCCGAGAGCTAAGTAGTTTGATAGATATAGCATATGGGGACATATATTCAGGGTACAGATTGGAAAAGTTAAGGTATCAGCTGTAAGTAGATTCCTAATGGAGAAAAACAAGGGGAAATTTAAAGCCCAGTCTGCCCGAGCTGATAGTTTTCAGCAATAGGGGTTGAAAAAAGATCAAAGACTTTGTAACTGGTCACATCTATGCTTCTTTCTGCTCAAGGGGTGATAGAGCTGGGAATTCTGTGATTCCGAGGACGAGAACCTAACCAATAAGTAGACTGAGGACCGAATTTTAGATCCAGAAATGACATCCAGAAGCTTATCTAGTAGATATATGCTAACAATGATCAATCTCTTAACAGAGCAAAATAAAGAAAGAAAACAACGCCACGATATGAGAGGACAGTATCACATAGAACAACATGATGTATGTATAGAATTGCCATCGTAATGGTAAACTAAATGTCGCTCAATGAAGGGCAAAACAATCCTTATGTCATAAAACGGGTATCGTTCCAACATAAAAGAAGGAAAAATAAAAAATAGCAACTCCAAAATTGTCAAAATTACCCCCAGAAAAATAAAATGAGAAATAAAAGATATAAAACTCCATTCTCATAAAATCCGATCTGCGTGGTCATGAATGTAAAACTTGGTCCTTCAAATTGCTCTAGAAATGTCCGCGATAGAGGGTAAATAAGCAAAATCTTAAGGGAAGCAATGATAATTCGTGAGCAATAATCAGACTTCGTGGCTGGGTTGTGAACTGGATGAATATGGTGGAGGGGAGGAGGCAAGATACGTTGCGAAACAGAGAGCCATGCAAAAAGAAATACCCCCTGGAGTACAGCTATCCCGGTACAGCACTCAGTGCCGTTTGTATTTCTAGATAAAACAAGTCAGTAAAATGGGAACCAAGTAAGTTGAAAGAAGGGGAGGTCGTGGAGGAAGCTTACATCGTCAACTCGTCTTCTGTTGGTAGGATCCAGTGAATTTCCCGCGCCCAATAATGTTTGTCCAAGAGCCTTTGATGCACCAATAGCAGGCCTCAAAATCACGGTAGGGGCTCGTTTTAACAGTGCCTTAGCAGCGCCTTGAGCGCTTCCACTATCCATCACTTCGCCGGGAACAGCAACCATTGCATCACGTGCCATGAGAAGATCACGCTCAAGGCTCGCGTACGCACCTCGCAAACCCTGCACGACGCCGACCGGCTGGTCTGCGTAAGGGGAGAATTGCTTTTGTTGCTCCTCGTCCGCCGAATCATCATCTGTTGTTGCGAAAGCTCGTTGCGGCGCAAGGCCACCTGGCGTAGTGAGGAAATCTTCGGTCCCTTGAAGGACGGTCTGGGTACCGATGGCAAGCTTAGCACCTAACTTCACAAGTTCGTTGGTGGTTGTTTTGGCGAATGCTAGGGCACCTTTCTGGATGCTGCGCACAACACGGCCATCTTTCTTGTACTCCCGCATTGGAATGACGACTAGGTCCTTGAATCCACTACCTACGCCGACAAGAGACTTTATGGGCGCTAAACCTGCAAGAACTCCTGGAAGCTGGTTGGCTTTGATGTCCGGCATCCAAATATCGTTAAGGGTTACTCCTAATTTCTCGAATCCTGAAACACCGTAGATAATTACGTGGCGGAGGACCATGTCGGCTTCTTCGAGAACGAAGAAGTTCATAAATTCCGTAGTACGTCCGGATCGTAGGCTCCCGTAATCTACCCTCTTTGGTTTGAAATCCAATCTGACACGAACGGCATTCACTTCGACCCTCTGCAAGAAAGGTTGGTCGGTTGGCGAAGTGTCAACGGGCGCTGAATCATCTTTGAATTCGAAGAACCGAGTCATGAAATCAAGAGCATCTTGATCAACATGAAGGCGAAGGGGGAGAATAGTTGCCTGAAAAGTGGTGAATTAGCATAATGCTTTGATCGACGACGAGAACACAATCCCGTCAAAAATATTTTGTGGCAGAATAAATACCTTAAGAACAATTTCCGACGCGGCAAGCTCTGCCACTGGCTTGACATTTAGTATTTCTAGGTGAACCATGCCGGTGCCGCTCTCCTTTTCGCCTGCATCATACATGTAGGTTGCAAACTTTCTCCAGTTAGATGATGGGACATGGTCGAAAATTTCCAAATCATTGACTCTAATATCCAATGAGCTTTGGGTCTCTCCAGATCCGGGAGGAAACACCACTAAATCCGCAGATATACCCTTCAGTTCAAATGTCATCTTCTGGCGTTTGCTACGACTCAATCGGAGTTTCTTGTTCTTTTTCGACGGAGGTTTGATTGTGGTTGCTGTCCCGTCAGTCATGGTCGTAGTTGTTGTAAAGCTACCTGTCTCGCTGGCAAAATCATCGATATGAGCGTTAATGTCTTCTCGCAGTTGTTGGGGGTTTCGATTCGACGGGATTCCGATGTAGATGGAGTTAAACAGGAAATCCCCAATCACATCCTCTTCACTATCTATTTGGGGAGATGCACGTCCACCACTGCGGGCGAATTTTTCACTCGCCTTTGCCTCAACATCCTTGACAGCTTTAGAAATAGTATCTCTCGTCTGTTGCCAGTCAAAGCCATCAAAAAGATTCCATATGAAATGGACGTCGCGAACCCTTACTCTAAGCGGGCTACCGCGGAGTTTGGCATCATTGGTAAGCGCGTAGGTATTGTATGTGGAGTCCCACCTATGCGCTGTGCCTCCAACTGCAGATTTCCGCGCGAAATGATTATCCTGGAAATCCAAACTGGAAACGCTGGATGTGACGTGAGCTTCAGAATGGAAGCTTTCAAGGAGCCTTCTCGACCCATGAGCTAGTCCAGGAGGAGCATCATCCGCATTGCCAGCACCTGATATGTGCATCCCAACATCATGCTTGCCTGTTCCCGATATCATAGGATAAAAGTCACTGACATACTCCAGCTCCTCGGCCAACCCACTCTCATTTTCGTCTTCGTCAACGGTGGGAAGGTTGGAGAGATTGTCACCCGCCGATATGGGGTCCGTGTCGAATGCGTTCCCCGTAAAGGAGCTTAGCATGTCATCGATTGGCATGACTTCGGTGCGATATTTGAGGGCTTTGTTTGGAGGTGAAGGAGGCGCCAGCTCATTTAAAATGGTAATCAACGTTTGAGTTGAATCGGCGCACGTTTCCAAGATAAGTAAGTCATCCCTCACCTCAATATCGACGGATTTCTCACGGTTGTTGTCAAGCTGCATGACCTTTATGACAATGGCAGCCGACGAAATATAACAGACAGGAACATATCCCATGCCATGTAGAAGTTGAACCTGGTTGCTTTGAATATCGCTGAATGTTCGTTGATGTGACTTCACATGCGTACCGACATTCCGGGCGTCGTTGATGATCATCAGAGAGGCCTTCTGGATTTCCAAAGACGCATCAAGGGTATCATCTTTATCTAGTGAACCTAAAAATTTTGCGGAAGTGAAAACCATAACTCCCCTGGCCGGGGATTTTCGAGGGTTCAGTCCAACTAAGCAGTCTCTCAAAATCACCGATAACTTTGATGGAACCGGTGATGAGGGTCTGGAGCTTCCGGAGCTCATTGAGGATTGTGTCAGCCGATGACTTGTCGCCACTTGGGACTTTAGCTCAGCCAAATTGACAACGGAATTTGCAAGATTAGCAGCAAAATCTTCAGCACTCATGTCGTTGTCAAGTCCGAGAAAAGCAACGATTGAAGGAACATTATATTCAAAACGGACGTTGTGGAGCTTTATCTTGACGGTTGGATCCATTTCATCTGCAATAAACCTCGCCATTATCATGGGCAGGGCTGTAATGTTAATTTCGTCTTGGGAGTTTACAGCTTCCCCAACGAGTTCCTCCTCATCATTCCGTGTGATCGCGAGTGAAGACACACGAGC